TCCAAGAGTTTGAATGTCAAATGTTGGACCACACTTCGGTAAAGAAATATAAAAGTCAATAGTGTATTTCATAATAAGTAATTTGTTTCTTGCTCTGACATTATCAATCAGATATGACTGGATCTATGTATGTGTGTATAATCTGAAGCCAAACTAACAGGAGACAGTAATTCTCAGTAACAAATGAAATGAAAAGCCACAATTCTTTTCCTTAGTTTTTTTAAACATTAAAATAACTTTCTAAAGTAATATTTACTTCACAAGAAATGCAGCAATGAGACATAGGATTAAGGGCTGAGAAAATTCAATTATAAATAAACAAATCATGTGAACTGGTGCTTAGTTTTTAATTAACCTGGGCAACTTCAGCCGCTTATTCCTTCTTCCTTTCTCCAATGTTAAAATGTAGTTTTCAAAGGTTAAAAATTTATGATTCTTAGGCAAACATCATCTGGACACATGTCAAACACTTTAACTCATTAATTAATGCAGGGAAGATGTTAAGACAGTTCTAAGAATTTGAGAACCTATACATACACATTTAATTTCATAAAGAAATATTTGGATAAGGTTTCTCAGTTATATAAAGACTGTTACCTTTGGGGTCATCTGTTCAACCAGAACAGATTGCCCCTCTACTAGACAAAAAATCTGCAAGTTAACCTCTGCCTGTATGGAGTTGTATAGTAGTCAGTCAATAGAAAGTCAAACACTACTGTGAAAACCAGTACTACATTGAAAGAACATTCAGAAATTTCTTGTGCCTGTTTTCAGGTTCTGAATAATTGCTGGGTCCCTGTACTCTCGATTTTCTTAATGTTGGGGTGTGTCCAGAGTCCCCTCTCTCTCTTAAGGATCTAACTCAGTTTTATAATATAAAGGATATCAGCATTCTTATAACTCTATCTATAGTTCAGATTGTTTATCTGAGCTCCAAGTTCTTCTTTTCCTTTTTTTTTTTTTTGTGGCATTGGGGTTTGAACTCGGTCTCAGTGCCATGTGCTTGCTAGGCAGGAGTTCTTACCACTTGAGCTGCTCCACCAGCCCGAGCTCCAGGTTCTTACATTCAACTGCATAAGGTACAATGCACTTAAATATCTAATGGACACAATTTCCAGACTACCACCTCTTACAGGTGTGTTACTGCAGAAGTACTGAGCTCTAGGGAGACATGAGTAATTCTTCAACCTGAGTACACAAGCCAGCTCTGAAAAGTTCAGGAAATGGTGTCAAGTAGAACTTTACTTCTTTGATTTATGATTCTGTGTAGCCATTTCTAATATCCCTAATGTAAATATGTACTAAACAGCATTTTATTTATATTTTGGATTTTTTGATTAGTCTTTTTCTAATCATTATATGTGATAATAGTCACTTTCAAAAGAATTGGTTCAACTAATGCAATGTTACCTTTCAGGGAATCTGAACTGTGCTGATCCTTTAACTTTACTTCTTCCTTATTTTTGAGGCAGAGTCTTGCTAATCTAGTCTAGACTGGACTTGAACCCACAATCTTCCTGCCTCAGTCTCCAGTGTTGGGATTATACATGTGTACTACCACACCTGACAAGGCTTAAATTTAAAAAAAAGTATTATTTTTTTATTAGTGAAGAAATGCTCTGTGTTAATTTTCTAGGACTGCTATAAGGAAGTACCACAGAATGGGTAGTGTAAACAACAGAGCATTATTTTCTCACAATTCTGGATGCTGGAAGTCCAAGATCAAGATGTCAGCAGGAATGGTTTATTCTGGAGGCTTGCAGGTGCCTATCTCCTCTCTGTCTCTTCATCTGATTTTTCTTTCTATGCCTGTGTCCTGATCTCCTCTTTTAAGGACATGGGTTATATTGGAGAAGGGCCCATCCCCATGTTCTGACTTTGTCTTCATTACCTCCTTCAAGGTCCTATCTCTAAATGCAGGCATATTTTGAAGTACAGAGAGTTAGAAATTCATTACATGAATTTTGTTGGGACACAGTTCAGTCTATAATACTTTCATATCAGTAATGGGTAAACCCCATGCTTACTTAGGTAACTGAAGAGTAAATTTAAACCACTACCCTGTATGTCAAGATTTCAAAATAATATCAGAATTCAGGGGTCAGGCTAGAGTCTTTCCCTGCAGGCACCCTATGGGACACAGATGTATATTAATCCAAGTCAAGCAAATGAGTAAAGTACATGTGTTTGTAGTTCTCTCTTCTAAACAGAGCTTAGAAGACATTAAAGTGAGGCAAGAAAGTTACATCAGCATAAGTCAGATTCTACAAAAATTTATTCTTGTTTTTATGTTAGTTGTATTTATCAATTTTATATACGAACTAATCTAGGAAACAATTCATATAAAATCAGGAGATTTCAATTTGTTAAAGTAGTATTTTCCTTTGTTAAGTAGAAAATCTAGAAGGGTGTTGTAGTCAGGGACAATAGGCTAAATCAAAGTAGGAGAAAATAGTTATGATTTTAAAAGTACTAATTGAAGCTTTAAGTACCTGTCAGTGTTCTGGTGATTTGGGGCTGAAATCTGCTATTTTCCTTTGTCAGTGGTGTTCACCATGGTAACTTCAACAAAAGCCTCCTTACAAATGTTTTGCTTCTAAAGTGCCAAGCACCTTTTTAGACAACCTGGTAGGAGTGGGTGTTTGGAAAATAAATGAAACATATTCTGCTTTCTTCATGATTCCTGTAGAGGACAGGAGGTGAGGAAATTATTGAGAAGATAAGGGTTGGGTGAAGTAAACATTTTATCTTGTTTTGGGATGAAAATTAATTTGATTTTTGAGGTAGGAAATGAATTAAAAATATGCCAGAGAAATACTTTCATTTCATAAAATTTCTTTATTTGTGGTTTTAAAATTTGAATGTTTGTCCATGAAAACTTACAAGCCACTCTGGAGTATGAGTTTTGTATGGGATGCGTCTACCCAGAACCTAATTTAGTGAATCCTTCTTTCGTCTAGATACTTCTTTCCTTGGGACCACATTCCTTGGGACTACTACACTAATATAGTAGTCCCTCTCATAAAAAAGTGGAGGTGGCAGGAGCTCAGAGGTTTTCAGTCTTAGCAACACACTAGAATCAACTGGAGATCTTGAGAAAATGCCAATGTCAGGGTCCTTCCCAGAGGTTAGAGTTTAATTGGTCTGGGGTGACACCCTGATGTAGAGCTCATTTTTAAAGCACCCAAGTCATTTTTTAATGCCTAGCTAGAGTTGAGAATGACTGTATTCATTGATCTTAGAGGCTACTTCCAGTTCTTCCACTCTGAGGCACTTATCTACAAATTGACTTCAGTGGGACTTGACTCTGATAGGAGTGTCAATTTAAGTACCTTTGCTTTCAAATTTATGTATCTTTCTGTGCAGGACTCAAGAAAGAAAGGCACTGGCTTTCTAAGGAACCCAGCATCTTTATTCTCATCTATCCCACTCAGTATCCAGAATAAGTCTCAGAAATTATGTTAAGGTTCAGTGGAGAAGTAATGATTTCACTTTCAAAACACATTGCTTTTCATACAGTTTTATTGCTTAAGGGTTGATTAAAAGACTGACTAGTCTTAATAATTATTTTTTTATGTGGGTGGAAATAGTCAATTTAAATCTAGCAGTAGGATTTAAATGAGTATAAAACTGTTGGCATGGTAGGTATCTTTTCTCTTTAGAATAGTGGTTCTCATCCTTGACAACAAATCAGAATTGCCTGGCAAGGTTTCTAAACCTTCTGTCCAGGCTATGCCCTAGACCAAATCAGAATTGTGAACCAGTTTTTTGTTTTTTTTTAATATTCCAGGAAATATTCTTAAAATCTTAGTCAAGGCTGGGAATTGGTGTAGAATGAAATTTTGTGGACAAATTATATTGAGCAAGTGGCTAATGGTGAAATGCTTAGCGCGTGCTCATCATCATCTTGATTAGAACTAGCATGCTCTTTCCACATGGATAATACTGGCAGAGAAGATCATTCTCCTTTTGCTAAAATTTCTGTAGTGAGTGAAGTCCCTGTTCTTTTAAATACTCTGAATTATTACATTACCACCACTTCTTCTGAACATGGCAAATGAAACCTTTACTTCTTGAGTTGATGAATAAAATCTAGGACAGTCTTCTTCAGAGATCCCTTTGAAGATGATTGAACAGTAAGGAAAAGGAGAACAAAAAATCATAGATTTTTTTTTTTTTTAGTAAATGAATTTGTTAGGTAAAATTACAAGTCAAAAAGACTGGATGAAGCATGCATTTGAAGTTGCTAATGGATCATCTCCTAGTAAGTAAAAGTGCATTTCAGCATGATTCCTTTTTACCTGATTGTGATTGTGACTTTCACTGTAAATTTACACTGAAGAGCCTCAATACTGTAGCATGAGATGTGTACTTAATTGTCATTCTGCATATTGATTCTAGTATCTCCCCAAAGCTTATAAATCATTATCAAACAAGAAAATCAAGTAATTAAACTCTCTGGCCTGAATCTGATCTATACTATCAACCTGCAGCATGAAAGGTGTTCACTCATACAGCTAGTTAACTCTCTGATAATGAACTTGGATCAGGAAGATGACTTGCTAATACTTTTACAAACAGAGGGAGTAAAGGAAGCAATTTCCTTGAAATCGCACATGCAAAATCCACTTATTTTCATGCCTTGGACAGAAAGCCAAAACTAACATCTATAGAAAAGGACAGAAGTATTAAAAGCAGTAAATATTTTAAAAAATTTGCCTTTGCAAATCATATCTAAGCTCTTTTTCTTGAGATGACTCCAGGGCATGCTGCAAATTCTATAATTTATGTTGCCTTTTACCCTTAAACACCACACAAAACAAACAATTATTTAGAATGAAATAATTGGTTTAATATTCATAAGCTTGAGAAAGAACTTGAATTAAAATTCAATATGGGTCTGACTTAGCACCATCTGAATACAGAAAGATTTCTATATATGTGCACATATTAGTTTTATTAACACACATAGGTAAATATTTGTTTGATATATGTTTCGATGGACCCTTCTGGGGGTTACGCTTATTTTTATTAGTTAGCTGGGCATGATACAGGTTGAACACCCCTCAGTTCCAGGGCCTTGGCAAAATTCACCTCCAGTGGCTTGCCTGTGCCTTTGGTGAGCCTCAGGGAACGGAAGCAACCTCGGAATCTAGTGTTGGTGGTTAGGCCAAATTGGTTCAGACCACCTGAAAAGACAAAGCAAGAGGGTTTACTTTTCATTTTGTTTTGGTGTTTTGGCAGTGTTGGGGATCTAATCCACATGCGAGGCACATGCTCTACCACTGAGCTACACTGCTAGCCACTAAAATTTTATAATCCCAACTCGTAACATGTGAAGAGCATATTTCAAAATAGTGTTATCTTGAGAGTAAATTGGACCACTATCTAATGCAAAGTTAGTGATGTGCTTATTCTTTAATAACGGATTTGTAGAGAACCATCAACTTTTTAATAGGTATATATTATGAAATATGGAATCATCTAAATTACTCATTTTAAGACATTCAACAAATAATTTGGTTTGGAATGAACAAATTTAACAGTTGCAACTTAAAACTGTAAGACTATATTTAATTAAACAAAGCAACTAATCAAACACTACAAATACTGAATTAGGAAACAGTTCTTCAATGTTGACTTTATCATTTCCTTACATTGCAAAGAAATAAGGCCCCAAACAATAAGTTGGTTGGAAACTCACATAAAAGTTTCTTCCTTTTGTTAAGAAGGGCCATATGTCTGCAGGTGTACTCAGTGCTGATTAGGATTTTATAGAGTAGACTGCGACTGGAGAAGCACACCGTCTCCCTCATAATATAAGGGGTTTATCAGGACTGAAGTGAGTCTTTTTAAAGCCATGAAGCAATGTTGAAAGTGAAACTCTTGACCACTCTCATTTTTTTAGTGTGTTTTTGGCTCTGTCAGCCACTGCTGAATATTGTATCTTGTCTTGTTTCCTGAAGTAGAGGAATTTAATATGAACGGAGACAGAATGAGGAAAGAGCATTCCTTGAGTCTGTATTATTATGCCACATACTAAGAGGCACTGGGCTAATTTCTCTTTAAGCTGGCCACTCTTGTTTATGGGCACTTTAGATAAGTCTCTGTGGTTCATGTGCTATGTTTAATGTGCCAGAGAAGGATTTCGAATACAGATTTATAGCTTGGGTTTCTTTGTAATACAAATATAAACTCCATAATAACCTACAGGGGAAATTAGCTACGTTTAACCCAATGATTTCCAGAACTTGAGGAAATAAGTTCCACAATATTTTATGATTCTTCTGGTACATTAATTTTTAAAAATCAGAAAACACCAACTCTGGCCTCAATTGCTGTTAAATGCCTCATATCTTTTATAAGCCAAATTCACTTTCTCCAGCCTTCATCTCCCCATGGATGAAACTCTGGGGGCTTTCACAAAAAGCATAGTCCCATGTGGTTTATATGAGTACTCGCTCACTTTATAGACTGGAAATTTGGGCACAGTGTTATTTATGGGAGGACATTCTAAAGCCAAGAGGCAAGTACTCTTAAGTACACTTTCTTGGACATACTTACATAAATATAAAAGTTTCAAAACCACAAACAAAAAGAGCAAACAAATTCTTCCTGGAGTAGCCAGTGCTCACCTGGGAAACCTCCAACAAAAACAGGGTCATTTGTGTCAGCGGATGTAGATGCTGGATTTGGGCTCTGGGCTTCCACATGGTTCCCATCCACTATGAGCTCAATGTGGTGTTTGATCTTGTTGGCAGTGACTTTATGCCACTGTCCATCACACAAATGTCCTGGAATCCCAGCATCATAGACTGCAGTGAACCGGCCGGCACCATTATCCACATGAAACAAAAGCTAGAAAGTAGGGCATCGAATGATCACAGATAGCTTCAGGAGAGGGACATCATGATGGTTCACACAGCAAAAATGATCAGGTCTCCAGGACATACTGCAGTTGGAATTGTTTGAAGTAAACACAACTGGGGCATATTTCAAAAATTTTAAAACTTGACAGAAAATATGAATGTAATCACTGAGTCACAAAGTGACTGAATAGCTGAGTTTGTTGCTTTGGGGCCTTATTGGTTTTAAAAGGCAAGGTGAATGAAGTTGGCTCTACTTTCAGAAAAATTTGAGGGTAGGCAACACAAAAAGGACCTACTACACAGAAAAATTCTTCCACATATCTTTCTTAGAGTGTGAGAGTTCTCAGTGAACCTTATAAAACTTTCTTAAAAGATGTTGTTTAAAGTGATTCATTAATTTGGTTTATGAATTCACTGTAAAGGATTGTTTTAAAATTTAAACTTTTGATGTTTCAATTATATTTTTTCCCTTCATGGTTTCCATTTTATATACAGTTCTGAAAGTTATATAAATTACTTTTTTGGGTACATTTCATGTCACAGGTGCCAGAGACCTGAGCCAGAAGGCCAGTTAAATTCCTAACAACGTAGAACTTAAATTAGAAGTTCTTGTTTAAATGAGAAAAATCTGGTTTTAGTAATGTGGTTGAAACTTGAGATGTCAGAATTCTTTTGAAGCCGATGAAGAAAAGAAACATATTGAAATATTAAAAACATTAGTCAGTTTGGCAACACATTTGACAATGTAAAAGAAAACAAATAGTTTTAAAAGATTAGAGGCACAAGTAAATAGGTTAAAAGTGTAAAATATACAGTGATGGAAATATTAGCAAAGAATTTAGTAATTTGGATTTTGTAATAACAGGATTTTGCATGTAGAATCCATGGTGAGAAATGGCGTGAAACACTGATACGTTGACATAACAATGTTTATAAGCAGGTGCGTATAAGCAGGTGATTAAATAAAGCTTATGTGAAAAAAGTACAGCAAATGTGTGTTTTGAAAATTTGACAAAACTATTAAGTATTTCTCTCTCCCTCTCTCTCTCTCTCTCTCTCTCTCTGTCTCTCTCGCCTTGCTGCCTTTGAGATGGTTTGAAGACTGAGGGGAAGGACTGAAGAGGCAAAGAAACTTTAGGTCCTATGTGGTTTTTCTACTTTGAGAGGCAACAGTACCCCAAAGGTGGAACTATGAACAATCAAATTATAATTCCCCTTTAATAGTTAAATAGGAGACATGAAATTTCTTGCTTTGCCTCCTCTTTTTATCTGCTCTGTACAATGCAAAGTATATATAAAGCAGGTCTGCGAACTGCAAGCTGTTTGTTGTTCATAGGCAGGTAGGGATGGAAGGGGTGTTTAGAATTAGATTATCCATTATAAACAAATGGACAAAAACAGTTATAAATTTGCTCTGTTTTGAAATGTTATCTAGATGATTTTAATTAAAAATTGAGAAACTAGTATGTTTGCTGGCCACATTGACTTCTGAGAGATGCTTATGTGATAACATATAGACTGATGTTTAGATGACCCAAACTTCTTACTTTTCTCCCACTGGAATCAATAGTTGCATAAAGAGAATAGCAGTATGCTCATAGAAACATAATAAGAGCTTGAGATCTGAAACAATTTGGTTCATTATTGGCCAACACACCTGCCTTGCTGTAGGATTAATACAATTAAAATTTATATGGTCTACAGAACAGTTATGCTGAGAACGGACATAAATTATGACAATCCAGAAGAAAGGAAAGATATAATCTGACTTTCCTCCAACTAAGCAAACAGAAAGACCTCAAAATAGAACAACAATGTCAGGAAGAAATCAGAAATGCTTGGACTGCATTTCTTACCTTCTCATCAATCATTTCAATACCCAGTCCATCCATTTTCTGACTGCTTATTCCCAGTAGAACTCCAGTTGTTCTAGTGGTCCGGAATTCAAATTCAACACGAAGGTCTAATCCCACTTTGAATCCACCAACTGTAAAAATAAAGATATTTTTAAAAATGTGGGTTAGAGTGTAGGGATTGTTCATTTAATTGTGTACAATGTAATGTTTTACTAGGTTTCCATTCAAGTTAACCAGCTATAATGAGGCTATAATCCTGACACCCATATGGCCTGTACTTCCACTACTATGGCAATAACGTACTTTGTAGCTATTGCTTATTTTCTCAGCTGCCTTCCCTTCTAGAATGAAAATTTTGTGAGCGTGGAGACATTTTATTCTTAGACCTGCCAAAGTATCTGGCACATAGAGCAGGTTTAATATATATTCATTGATGAATACATATCAAAATAGACTCAAAGAACCCCAAAGCCAGGTATGATTATTGTAGAAGTCTATCAGTTGGATTAAGTAAAGGATTTCAATGGTTATTCAGTAAGGTTTAGATTGAGGCAATCTAAATGATACATACTGCAATGATCTGAAGGTTCAAACATTCCAAATATTTTATAAGTAAAGAGAGAATCACAAATACAATTTTGATGAGAAGACTCTGGGGATAGGTGGACTTCTCTAGTTCATCCAGTCAATTCTTTCCTCTGTAATTTTCCATATTTGATTCATTGATTTGTTCAATCTTTTAATAAGACATTTCTCTTAGGAACAAAGTGCTTTGTTAAAATCAGTCTAGACCACATGAAGTGCATGGAATGTTAGAAAAGAACTAGTGGAAAATTTTTCTGTATCTTTTACTGATTATGCAAGGAATAGATGCCATGTGTAACTGTCTCCAATGAGGGGTGGTACCTAGTATGTGAAAGACTTTGTTCCGCTGAGAACCTTGAAGAGTTTGGATGGGCAAAGGTGGATTTACAGCAGTTTTTAAAAATAAAGGGTAGGAGAAGCTGAATTGTTGTGTAAAATAAAACAGAGAGGGAGAAGTAAGAAGAAGGAATGACATGAGGCAGTTCAGCTGAGGACAGAGGGAGTGAGGAAGTCATAAAGACTCCAGTGACTGGGTAGTTGGAAAGCTTTTAAGAACAAAGAGTCAAAGGTTAAAATGAAGATTGCTCTATTGGAGTACTCTCCTCTGACCACCCACATCTTATGTAAATTGTATTATGCTGTCTATTGAGGGGATGGCAGGAGTTGTTGGAAAATGGCAAAGTGGTTAATTTTCTGGTCCAGTTTCATCCGGAACCAAAAGAGCCAGGGAGGATGGCAAATCCATCCATGAGCTACAGAAGCTGAAGCTGGAGTTTGGCATAAATTTGACTAAGAGGATGCTAGCCATTTGTGAATTTGCAGAAATCTCAGGGGGAAACCTGTAGACTCTCACACCACATGAACTTTGGGGTTCAGCATAATTTCCAGTGTTTCAATATTTAATATGTACCATGTTTTTCTGATTTCTGCTTCTACATTGGGGATGTTAGCAACCTAGACTTTGTTAAGATGATCCTAGTTTCCGCTTCCCACAACTTTTTTGTAGAGGAGTGTTCAACTCATCTTTTAAATGTATGCTCAAATGTCAATTCCTCCATGAAACCTGAACCAAAATGAGTATTTCTTCTAAATATCTATGACTTTGCTTATGTCTTTTATAGCTTTTGTCATTTTCACTCACCTTCTTGTGATTTTTGATCAAATCAAATCTTACATCTATGTTGCCTGTAGTTAACTTTCATATATTATGTGTTAATTAATGTTTTTATTGAACAAATATACATGGCTATGAAAACCATGGTTCTGAAGACTTCTTCAAGGATGTTAATGTCAGGTGTTTTTTGTTGTTAATAAGTAGATGTTAGTTCCTATTTTTCTTTCCAAACTATACATTCATCATCAGTGAATTTCACACAGGAAATGAGGTAAGTGAGAATAATTAAAGAAAGCCAGGGAAAGTTACCATTCATTAAGAGATGGGCAGCAGTAGGTGTGCGAGAATACATGCATGTAGGGGTGTGTGCGTGTGAAAAAATGGAGCCTGGCAAAGAACTGAAGCGGAAGAATAGTATTTTATCTCCAGAAAAGGTAGATAGACAAAACTGGAAAGCAGAAAAATTATATAGTGTAAACATATGAGCCTTCTTGCAGAATTTCATTTATTTTGCTATTACTAATCTTTAGTGAAGGAGATGAAACACTCTTTATTTTTTCTATTAGTTCTTTTTATTTATATATTTATTTTTCTTTTATTTATATGTGCATGCAATGTTTAGGTCATTTCTCCCCCCTTACCTCCCGCCCACTCTCTATTAGTTCTTATCAGACTCAGATACTTGTACTTTAAAAATTTCTTCTAGAAGCTCATTTCTGATTTAGAGTACTAGTTTAGATATTTTTTTCTTTGCAGTACTGTGGTTTGAACTCAGGGCTTTGTGCTTGCTAAGCAGGTGCTCTGCTGCTCGAGTCACATCTCCAGTCAATTGTGCTCTGGTTATTTTTTTGGAGAAGGTGGGGGGTCTTATGAACCACTTGTCTGTATTGGCCTTGAACTTTGATCTTCCTTATCTCTGCCTCCCAAGTAGCTAGGATTACAGGTGTGAGCCACTAGTGCCTAGATAGGCAGGCACACTACTCCTTGAGTCACACCTCCAGATGAGGAAAGAGTAAGTAATAGAGGAAGTTAATCTGATTAAAGTACAATAAATATGTGCCTGAAATATGAAGGCAAATTCCTCTTGAACAATCAATAACACTTAAAAACGAAGGACAGTAAGGTAAAACAGACCCTGTGTGGAAGTAGTGGGTACTAGTGGGGTGAAGGATGAGTGGAAAAGGTGAAGGAAGGTGAACATGGTGGCCGTATTTTGTATTCATGTATGAAAACAGAACAATGAAACTTGTTGCAGTGGTTCTAAGAAGGCGGAGGGGATATGAGGGAGAACCATGGAGGGGCTGAATCTAATTAAGATACATTGTACGCACATATGTAATGTCACAATGTATTCTCCCTGTACAACAATTATATGCTAATAAAAATAAGTAAATAGAAGATACAGAATTCATATGAATATAGATTTGGAAATCAAAATGATTATGTTTTTTCAAAAAAGAGGATGTGAGGGCGATCTGGCTGCGACATCTGTCACCCCATTGATCGCCAGGGTTGATTCGGCTGATCTGGCTGGCTAGGCAGGTGTCCCCTTCCTCCCTCACCGCTCCATGTGCGTCCCTCCCGAAGCTGCGCGCTCGGTCGAAGAGGACGACCATCACTGATAGAGGAGGACCTTTCTTCGGTCAAGGGTATACGAGTAGCTGCGCTCCCCTGCTAGAACCTCCAAACAAGCTCTCAAAAAAGAAAGAGCACTAGTTTAGGATAATGGGGACCTGTATATTTTGGTACATGTGAGAAGTTAGCATTTATGTATAGGTAATAGTCATCTGGAAGGAAGTAGAAAAGCCTCACCTGCTTTGGCAAAACCTGTTCCATCAAAATAGGTTCCTCTCTGAGCATGTGCAAAACATGTCTCCACAAGGAAGCTGGAGGTTGGGTGTTCAAGATCCACTGGAGCCTCCTCCATGTGAAGATTCCTAATACAGCCATTGATGCTGTAGGTCACCTAAATATTCAGGTCAGAAGAAACAAAGGTCAAGCTGCAGCAGAACTTTGCCCTTACGGGCAACACAATTATTTGTGGAACACTCTGTGTAGAGATACAGGTTGGTTGTCTTAGAGGACCCCTCAAAGCTGTCCTAGACCTTATAGGTGCTGAGCATCCTGTGCTGTTTCTAATTGAGATACATCCAGCCTGGATCACAATTGTGTGAAGCTCTAGATACCACACGATGTTGCACTAGGTGTCTATTGGGTTCACAGAACTAAGGGCTCCATCTGGTATCATAACTTTTGACAACTCTCTTATGTTTCTGACTTCATATTTCAATTTACTAAGCTTACTATAAACACATTTTTTATAATCTATGTCTGATTTCTATTTAAAAAGCTAATTAGGTTTGCTTTAGTGAGTCTTCCTTTTGAAAATCTAATGAAAGCAATGGGCCTTCTCTTAAGAAAATACACATAGACATAAAGCTTGGAAGTTTGCATAAAACATTTGGATCTAGCTGGGCACTGGTGGCTCAAGCCCATAATCTTAGCTCTTTGGGTAGCTGAGGTAGAGAAGTTCGTGTTTTGAGGCCACCCCCACCCCTCCCCATCTCAACCAATAGCTGGGCATGATAGCATGCCCTTGTCATCTCAGTTGAAGCATAAAATATGAGTACCGTAGTCCAGGCTAGCCTGAGCAAAAAAAGGGAGAGCCAAAATTGTTGTAGATTTGGCTCAAGCAGTAGAGCTCCTGCCTAGCAAGAGCAAAAGCCCTGAGTTGAAACTCTAGTACCACTGAAAACAAACAAAAAACAAACAAACATTTGGGGCTCAGGGAATCTAGAAATAACAATACTCTGCTCCATTATATTTCATCTGACTTTAGGAATTTAAGTTAATCACTTCTGCCACCGTCACCTCAGATTCTTGTTTTTGATAGACTTGGTAGTATATCCAATAGGTATGAAAAGAAAGTAATTCGAATCAGTCACAAGAAAGGCCAAATGCTGAGGATTACATCTAAAATGTGAAATTGTCTTTGATGAAAGAACAAATTTACACCACCATGTGCTCTAATTTCAGTATTGAAATGTATCCTATTTGTATCTCCTGCATTCTCTAAAAACCCTAGTTTCCCGTATTTCTCAGCAGAATGCTTTTCAAAGCAAACCAGGAAACATGGCCTGACAAAATTTTTTGTGGCTATTGATTTATAAATTGCGAGGATTTTAAATTCTGAATCCAAAATTGGGTTAAGTATTCTCTAAATACCACATCTCTCAGTAGTTGCTAATGAGAGTCCTGAAATGACTCTATGGGTGCCACCATCATCTTCCTTGTTACCCTGTGCTGTCTATATGACTGACATTTTTCCAAGCACTTTAAACCAATTACCTTATTTAATCTTTTTAGCAACTGTTTGTTTGTATTATCGTTACCCCATTTTGAAAAAGAGGAAACTTTGTTAAAGAAAGATGAAGTAACTTGCTCAATGTCACTCAGTTAGTCAATAGTGAGGCAGATTTTTAAACCATGGTAGTTGGACACCAGTGTTCACATTCAGCGTTCTGTGTTTCTTGCCTCTATAGTCAAATCTGTCTAGAAAACCTTTGGTCACTGTTCATATGTAGATGATTTCCAGTTCATCTGTAGTGACCATGTGACCTGATAATTAGCGAGTACATACACAAATTAATGACTCAGCCAGAAAGTTAGGCAACAAGAAAGGAGTGAGACACTCACGGGACCAATTCTTCGGGTAGTGTAGTTGATGGGTAACCCACCCACATATAACATCCCCACAACATCCAGGATATCTGCTTTCTTGGGACTGAGAGTTTTGTTGGATGCCTCATCCACGTAAAGAATTCCTTCTTGCTTAATTCGCATAATCTTAATCTATATAAAGAGAAGTCATTAATGCCAACCTTGAACAAATTTCAAATACTCAGAGTGCAAGACATAAGAACTTTAATGATGTTCTCAAGGAAAAGTGAAATAACTTATGTGCTAAACCCATAATGTAAGTGAAATTAAACCTATTTTACAGAGCATTTCAAAGTCTGTTTTTGCACACAAATTTCCCTGGATAAGTTTTAGGTTGAAGTTTTTTCTAGAGGTTGCCAAGTGTACGTATGTCTCAAGAGATAGGCATGTTGTAAGGAAACTTACTGATAGCACTGCCATGAATTAAGTGGGCTGCAACATTCATGTCTAGTTTTAAGAATGCATTAGTTTGGCTGAGCAAAGCCTGGGCTCTGAACACAATTTGAGATATGTACATCCTCTGCCTAGCTCTTCTCTTGCAGAATTGGAGAAAAAGCAGTGCAAAGGGGAGGTGCTAACATTCCTGCAGAGGCTGATTAGTGCAAAGGGGAGGAAGATGGAAACCTGACTGATACAGAAATTATGACAGTGGAGTGAATTATCTTCCAGGACAAAATGAAAAAAGGGAAGGGATACGAGGACTGGCTTGAATATAAAATCCTTGAGTCTAAATTTAGCAAGAGGGGTATGTGTAAGCCTGGGAGACGCTGGAGCCAATGGTGGCTTAAAAAAAGTCTGAATCAGGATTAGAGTAGTTTAACCCCTCATTTTACATGTATTCATTCTGGTTTGGGAAGTAATTTTTAAAAACCTTTGAAAATAAAATCTGTCCTTAATTTTAAAGCTAATTATCCTATATAAGTTCCTTTTTCTAAACCCAGTCTCATTGTGGCCCAACTATATATATATTTTTTTCTCCAGGGTTATATTAACTATTTCCTTTGCCAGAGATGAGAATAAGCTTTAATGAGAGCTCCTTTATTAGGAACTGTATTTGCAAGCCGTATGCTCCACTCCCAAGCAAATATGAAGATTCCATTTTGTATTTCCAAGATAACAAACTGGTTGACTTGAAGTTTATATTGTGTCTTTTTTCTTCAGGGTTTTTGGCTTCCCATGTGCTATCACAAATCAAAGTAGGTTAATGCATCAAATCCAATAACTAATAATATCATGCTCTGAAAATTAAACATTTTATTTCCCTACCTAGGGAAACTTTACTTAATAGGCTATCACAGGTGCAGAGAGAAATTTCGAGTTTTCATTTTAATCAGGCAGTATATTATCAACTTGTAGTCTTGCCAAAGAGGACAGTAAGCTCGCAAATGAGCCTTCTGTGCCCATGATAGCACCAGTGTCTGGGTGGAAGGCCAATATTTAAAATTGTTCCAAATGACTGTCAGTGGAATGGTACCTTAGAGTCCTTTAAGCATGATATTGCAAAGCTTTCCACAGTCTTGGTTTTCAGAGCGATGTGTAGTAGGGTGAAGGGCAAGTCTTAGAATGCATTTCAATGTTGTCAGTTTTTACATTGGCCAAATATTGTTTCTTAAAAGAGCTACCTTATAGCACCTTAAAAATAAGAATGTATAATCTCAGAACAAACATTTTAGTCCTCCAAACTGAATACTCAGAGTTTTATGGCTAACATGTTCTCTTGTCCTACAGTTCTCACTTGGAACAGTGGAAACTGGCCCTAGTTTGTGGACACATGTTTGGGCAGCACAGCTGTATAATAATGACAGAACCCCATAGTACCATAATGAGGGAAACAATTGGTCAGATACAATCTTCCCAGGTCTGAACACATTTTTCTAGGTTGTGGCAGTTGTGTATGGCACCTGCTTTATTTTTAGTCTCTGCCATATTCCAGTAGGACCAGAGCTAGTATCTGTAATGGCAAAACAGTGTTGGCATCAGGGGAAAGCCATTGCGGCCACCCCTCTTGGATTACTGCCCACATCTGGGGGATATTTACCTTATGCCACTGGCCATCGTTTATCCTGGTGGGGATCATGGTATTGGTGTCACCACTTCCTAAGTCATATTTGAAGTAGGGGAATCCATTTATCAGCTGAACTGTAGCAAAGTCAGCATGATTGATCCGAGCCATGTAAAAAAGCAATCCTGATTCAGATTCAGTTCTCACTTCGAACTCTATTGTGAGGCTGTGAAACAGATTTGAAAACAGAAAATAAGAGCATGCTTAGGTAAAGATAGACAGGTGTCAAATCAGGGTGCATTGTCCTAAGGAGGTTATATCTCTGACAGCAGAACTTCCCAGGACTACTAAACTGGGACCTCGGAACCGAACAAATAGGATCCTATTCTCTACTCAGTGAATTAAACAACAAACAAACAAACAAAAACCCAAAGCTCATTAATTAATAAATGTAGTTGATTAAACTTGAATAAATGTGAATACTCAGTACTTCATTTATCACTTCTTGTGCAATATCTCACAAGAGAAGACATACCGGTTTTTAACTTTGGTGTCATCGAATGCAATTACAATGTGACTGTTTTTTGAAAGCCCAAACTGTTTGCTCCTCATCAAAAGAGCTGGTTCTGACTCTGCAGCACAAGGACCCTGCAAAACACCAGAGGGAAAGAGATTATGGACTCCGTTCTTTAAATAGGTAATATTGCTGTCTAATTGTTTCTCCTAGATTACCTTCATGTTCTTACAAAATTTTAAATTCCTTAAGAATAAAACCTGTTTTTTATTCATCTCTGTAATCTACAGCATAGAAGGTACTTATTAAATGCTCAGTGAATGTGAATCCATTTTCTTCTATGACACTCTTTAATTGCTAAATGAAGGTGTTAAGATGCATTGATTAATTCATATTTCCATTATCCTCTAAGGAAAAACATTGTTTACGTTTCTGAGGAATTTGCAATTTCATTTACTTATGAAGAATTTTATTCTAAGAAGCTTGGACAGGGAAAATGACAAGCTAGCCACTTGGATTATAAGAGCAGAAAAATGTGTCCTTCTTGCCCTCCTCATTTTCATCACCCACTATATTACTTTTCCTTGAGAATTATCAGTCCATAGAAGGTGGCCATGAATTTAGACTTTCAAGATGGTGTATCTAAACCTGCAAGTCAGCCCTTTTAGGTCCTCAGCCAGTTGCTAGGCAACCTGGTACATTTTAAAATGTAACCTACCATACACCATTTCCACTGCAGCTATTCAGAGATCAGCTTCCTGGAGTGCTTAAGAGGGAGGGACAGCCAGGTACAGTGCTGTGCGGTCGGTCACTTGGTTTAATGCTCTGCTGTCACCATCTTGAAATTCTTAATAATTTTTGATCAGGGAGCCCTGCATTTTCATTTTTCATTGGACCTTGCCAATTATATAACCAATTTGCCTACATGGACCATATTTGGCTACTGTAATGTACAGCTCAATAATCAAGGCTCCTTAAGTGAATGAAGTTACAGCTCCTTCCCAGTTCTCTTTTTTCACTAGATAGCTTGATGTGCAGGTGGCTTCAGAAGTCTTTAGATCATGCAGCATGTGAGAAAACCAATAACCTACATACTCTCACCAATACATTTGTTTTTCAGATTTGTGTTTAACAGCTCTGGATGGGCCACTGTTCCAGTGAGTTTCCCCAAAGCCCAAGGCAAGTGTTTGAGGCAATGTGTTCTTCCAAAATGGTGTACTTCAGAGATGACTCAGCACACAGGAAATCTGTACTTAAGGGACAGTCCTGTTCTCTTTTCTCTTGAGCTTAGTCAAATGCAACACTGCCACTGCAGGTAAAGGGCTTAAAGTGTTTCCAAATGCTATAAAATTGGGCTTCATGGAAGTAGTTCTCTTCTTGCTTCCCAGAAGTTTGTCAGTTATAAAGAGTAGACTGTGATTGAAATTCATACAGCTATGAAAAAACCCAATGGGCAAGACAGGAAAATGCTATTCACAAGGCTCCTATATAGAGCCAAGTGGAAAGCCTTTGGTGGCTTAAAATCTCAGCCCCTCAATAATGCTACTAATAGAGTTGGGATCATTTATCAATCTCATGTGATATTTCCTTTACAGGGGACCTTCATCTGCAGCCCTCCTCAGAAGTCTCTAAGAGAATCCTATCTGCTTTGAGTCCACGGGGGCAAAATTTCACTCAAACATCTTTAAACCCTCAGCTCTGAAACTGACAAACTGAAAAGGTCAACTGATGCTAAGGAATTAGAGAACAAGAATGTGTATGTAGCCTAAACGAAAACTGCCAGAAGGTTACTTTTCTTTTATTGTTACGATTGCAGACATTTGTTCGGTTATTATACGTAAATGTTAACATAAAACAATATTCTAATATGAATAATTTTAAATTCATATTTGAATATGATTTTAAAAACAAGGTGGCAGTTGTGAAGAGTAGATATTTTACAAGTGACAGATGTAGGCTGTGGAAAGCTTTTGTCTTTAAATGTCACATGGTGGCCCACTCTGCATGATAACTTTTCCCACTGGTAGACTGGACAGGTGTTCTCAAAACAGGGCCTGAACTGAACAGCAGTTTTTTATCACATTTTCTAGATGGAAAAGGCTTGATTAAGTCATTTTTAGGAAAACCTGAGGCTAACCCCTATAGATAACCTCAACGTATGGCTATAATGGCAAATTCATTTTTCTTTAAGGACATTCAAACTGATGCTTACTCTCATTGATTTGTAGACAGGATGGATATTGTGGATATTGCTTTAATAAAACACCAATCCCCATCCTTCATAAGACTGGCAGCTGGAAGAGGACTGAGAAGTGCTGATGTCAGAGAGTTTTATATGAATTGATTCTAGGATTTAAATGGGAAAAACATTGTCTAGGCCGTAGTCTGGGAATGTTTTGGAACAAGTATAGATCTCGCCCTTGCTTGGTTAAGGGAGATTGAACAAGATCAGTCTGCTTTGCCTCATCCCTTCCTGGTGAATTGAATGTGCAGGGCAGTGCCATTCTGAGGTTTGCTCGCTGGTGGTGCTGTGGCTTTCCTTCCTCCTCTTTCTTCTTGCAGAGGGTGGAGCTGCTCCTCCTGTAGCTGTAGCTTCTTTTTCCCTTCTGACATTTTAAAAGGGAACATGTGAGATGGATAAAAAGTGTTGGTGCTGTGAGCAAAGATGAAATGATCTTGTCAGGATGGACATTTTCAACTCTGTTCCCCACAGAAATCTAAGCTAAGCGAGAAAGGTGGAAGAAAAGACCATCTAATGAGGTAAATTAATGGAGCCCTTAAAGAACGGTCATGCAAGATGGATCTTCCTCGTCTCAGCTTATGTGAACTTGAGGGGAATCTTTATGGACATGTTGATACATTTCCTGTGATGTTTTGGAAACATCGATCTCTGAAACGTTAAAACAACAATAATAATAATAAAAAAAAATCAGTCTCGGTAGAGGCTCATCAATCTCAACATGTTACAATTCTGCCACCTTGTGGGGACTCTTAAAATACTCCAAGTGTATTGAGGGATGTGATAGGGAAGGACAGGTTGTGCTTGCTTTCTATTTGTCTCTGCTTGTAGGGTGAGGAGTTGTGCACGGACGGAACTCGTGGGGAGTGTAACTCATCAGTGAACCTGTTGTTGAGCAGTGATGGGGATAGGGAGGATTCTGAAGGAAGCCAAACTCCCCAAGTCCATGTTTAGGGAAGCAAATCAGTAGCCAGCTGAAAACCTTTCACCCTGTTTATTTCAGGTCAGAATAAAGCAGTGGTGATTTCTAGCTGCTGGTTAGTGGTTGACATTTGGAAATTAGTTATTGGATTCAAGATAGCATATGATTCACTGATTTGCATCTCTTGAATTTAAATGGGTGCACAGCAGACATTTAAATCACATTTATCAAAACTGGCATCTTTGTTCTTGATAGCACCAAATGATGAATTGTCATAAAAATTGTACAGTTTTCTTCTTTCATGAGTCAATAAGCCCCCTAACAAATGTGAGCTAAAATCACAGTTGATGCTAATGTGTGATGATTGTCTTTATGGATGAATACTAAGTAGAAGATACTTTTATAACACTGACTTTGATGTCCTGAAATATAAAGTCCATACTCAAAGCTGTTTATTGAAAAACTGAATTATGTTAACTTGTGCACATAAGCTTTTTTGGTGGCCACTGGGCATTTTCAGTGATTCTTATACACTAAAGCCTGAAGAGAAATTCCTTAGAGTGCAGGAAATATATGTTTCTCCTTTAAATACATATCAGTATCCAATCAAGTTATCCTATGGCCATGACTGCACTTAGCTTTTAAAACTGTTGCATTAAAGCTATTAGAGAAATCTCTGCTGCATTCCTTCTGTCTCTGCCCACTTCTCCCCCCCAAATTCTTAGAGTCCTTATCAACACCACATTCTTCATGGCTACTCCTATTGTTCCTCGTAATTTTCACATTTTAAACTTTGAGGTTCACAGTTCAACTTTCCAACAAAATTCTGGGAAAACATGTCATTATCTCATTGTATACAAATCCACACAGACCAGGCTTGTTATGGTCTTGGTACACACAGTGCACATATTTGTACAGGACTTGCCACATTTGGAACTATTAATAAATTTCTATAATGCAATGCCCAGACTGTTATCTACCCCATCTTCTCTCATCCTACATGAAAAATATCCAAAATATGATATATGAAAAAGTTGTTTTCAGGTTTAAAGAACATGACAGTACAAAAAGATGGTAACCTCTTGTACTATTAAATAAGTTAACTTGTATGAAGTGATGTGAAATATATGATGGCTTAACTTGTGTTAACCACATGGTTGACATATTATATTTCACTGAGCAGGTTTTTCCCAGGATGCTCTTAAATTGCCTGGAGTATAATGAATGTCATCCTGGAATTGTAAGCTAATGGCAGGGATGGGGGTGATGGTATAAAGAAGAAAAAAAAGGGCACCTAGAATAGGAGATCCTGTCTATCAACAGTGCTAGAAAAAATATAAGACTCATATGTAGCAGTTCCCACTTCAAAAACTACCTTGTAAATCTTAATTCTTGAGGAACTCTTAAAAAAATCTCAACTCCGATAAGAAAGAAATTTTTCTTTTTTTATAGTGAGAATTGAAAGTAATGGGAAAGTTGAGATCTAATAATCATATCATGTTGGAATTTGAAGTAGCTTAAACTAGAATACTCACCAACACCTCCTTTTTTTCCCCCTAGCACTTGCCTCCACTCTAAATACGTGAATGGTTAAAGGAGCTCTCTAGCTAACATACAGGGATTAATAGAGTGCTGGAGTGTTGCCATGAGCCAGGCAACATGCTAAGTGGTTGGCATAAACATGTAATTTATTTTCTCCTAATATTCTTCAAAGGTAGATATTATTTTCCTTATGTTTCAATGAGTTACCTTACATTTAGAGAGGAAAAATCACCTATATTTGCCACAGTTTAGTGAATAAAGGTAGGTGGGCTATGGCAAGAAAATCATTTTTTTTCTCTCTTTCTCTTTCTCTGTCTCTCTCTTGACATATTGTTAATCTTTACATTTATTGTTCTCTTAATAAATATTTGTTATAAATTATTCAATCTTTTTGGTAACTTTAAAAAGAAGATTCATCTTCCCTTAAAAAAATAAGAAATCAAATGAAAAGAGAAGATATGTATGGCTCCACAATTTGAGACTCTAAGATACAACAGAGTCCACAAAGATGGAAAGTTCTAAAACTAAAATTCTGGCCACAGGGTCATAAATAATTTTAATGTGCAAGAGAAGGGAGATAGCAGGTGGAGTTTAGATGTCTGGGTTTGGTGTCACCTGGCACTCATGTATATAACCTGGGACAATGCTGTGACTTCCCTCATGTGTAACTTAAGAGTGGAATCTCTAAGGTTTTTTCTAGCTGTGATACTCTACAATTCTTTCTAGACCACAGAAGGATGTGCTTGAGATACCCTATAACAACAGAGGCCAGCAGGGGTCTTCTCTAAAATTCCAATTCAAACTAACACATACAGATTGAGAGAACTGACAGATAGAAATTCTAGTGATGAGAAGGCCCAAGAGGTTTTACTTGATCAAATATGGTACATGAACAGGGGTCAACAGCAGGACACATCTGTTGAAAACATTAAAGCATTCTTAGATACATCAATAAACAATGAACTGGCCACTTCATTTGGAGTAGTGTGATCTTTTCTAGGTGTCATATTTTAAAAGGGATCTTTCAAACTCAAGAATCTTGATCACTAAGATATGAGAATTACAAAGTAGGTCATACAAGAATACCTGAGTGGATGGCATAGTTAGCCTAGGGAAGGAGAAGAGCTTATTCTTTTTAAGTCCTTGAAGGAATGTGAGAAGGGACACACAAGTTTCAGCTAGATAAACACAATCATTACACAGAAGTTATAGGGATGCAGTGTGACTACAATATAACTAACAGCTCTCTAATAACTAGAGCCCACCTCATCAGAACCTGGAAAATTCTTGTCAATGAAGTGTTCAAGCAAAGGCTGCATCTCCTTATCATGTGTTATATAGGAGGAATTCATGCACAGATATAAGAAGGAGACTGAACCAGATGACTGCTCTGGTTCTTACCAGTTATAATTTATAATTAAAAGTTAATTATTTAGAAATTAGGCTCAGCTTTCTTATAGAAATGGTTTTACATATGTGGATATTAGGCTACAAGGTGAAAAAAGATCTATTCGGCTCATTATGTTTTCAGTTGAAAGCACACTTGAAGCTAGGGAACACATGCTTTTAGAGTATATAACGGAAGAAAAGGAGAATCGTGAACCTTCCCTTTGCTGGCAAAAGATCTAGATTGTGACCACAATCTGAAAGGGCTGAGGGAACATCCACACAGCCATGTAGCAGATTTCAGTGGTGCCTTGGGGGAAATCACCCGACATGATTGGAGGCCTTCCACTTGCTAGTTGTGTAATCCTATACATTTCTTTTTGCAAGATGGAGCTGATGAGACTTCTAGTAATATAAATATATGTAAATAAAACAATGAACAGCTTGTAGGGATCAAATGAAATAATGAATATAAGATGTCTGCAGGGACATCTAGTTGCTCAGGAAAGGCAGAGAATCCTCACACTATACAGGTTGATGTGATTCTCCCAGTTTTCACAGGACTTCCACATACACTGTGTCTTTAGGCACTGTAATACTCCAGGCTAAGTAGGCAAGGCAGGTGTAAGACCCACATTTTATAGAGGCCAAAATGATACTTGGAGTAACTAATAACTAATTTTACTGAATAATGATCACTTGGCCAGCCATGTAATAAATATTTCTGGTGACAATGGCACATTGCTTTACAGAGCAGTCAATTCCATTATGGAGCCTGAAGAAGAGAATGAGGAATTCAAGGGTTTTTGAAATTAACACTCAAGACAACATGCCCCACCTATTTTAGCAATGGATTATAGACACGATGATGCATGTGTTGTCAAGAGTGTAGTGAGATAGAACCTCTTCCATAGGACAGTGGTGAGTATAAACTGGTACAATCACTGGAAAAGGCAATTCTAAGAACCACAGACATATTCATCTTTTGGCCTCATAATTCCCTGCCCATGAATCTACTTTAAAAAATAATCAGAAATGATGAAAAAGTTTGATTGACAGAAGTGCTCACCAGAGTACAATTTCTAATAGTGAAAAGCAGAAACACTCTAAGTAGCCCACAATAGGCTATTCAAAGTAGAATGAATTGTAAAGGCAGAGTGTTGCAGTGATAAAGAGCCAGACTTTGGGATCAAACCCACTAGCTTAAAATTCCTATCCTGACATTTACTAGCTGTGTGAGTGGTTTAGTTACTTAAGAGTTAATTCTTATCAAATCAATTAAAAATGGAAAGATATAGCTGGGCACCAGTAGCTCACATTTGTAATCCTAGCTATTCAAGAGGCAGAGATCAGGAGGATCACAGTTTGAAGTCAGCCTGAGCAAATAATTTTTGAGACCCTATCTTGAAAAAAAAACCCTCATGAAAAATAGCTGGTGGATTGGCTCAAGGTGCAGGCCTTGAATTCAAACTCCAATACTGCAAAAAAAATTTTTTTAAGGGGGGAAAGATAACTTGCATTTTAAAAAACTGTTATATATGAGAATCACATATAACATAGAATTAAAATTGTATAGTTAGTGGCAAAGATATAGTAAACAATTGCAAACATTCTTATGCCATATATTAAATAGTGTGTCCCAGGCATTTAGAAAACTATCATTTAAAATTCATGACTTTGACATATGTGGTATTAATATTCTCAATTTACAGATCAGGAAACTGATTGATAGATTGGCTAAGTTGCTTTTCCAGATTCATTCTGGGCATAGGTTATAGCTCTAATCAAGGAAATACAACCTCCCATACTATATTTGATGAGTCTATGTATGTATATGAATGTATATATGTATGTATGTATGTGTGTATACATAATAGAAAATCATATCACACACTTATTTACATGATGTTTACATGAAGTATGTGCTACTAGCTTTTATAATTAAGATACCAAACTGTATGGGTCTTGATGAGATCTATATGTAAAATGCAAAGAAAAGAGATTGAAAATTGATATGGCTACCTGCCTTGGTATTATACATGATGTCTATTCTTGATTCTGAATATGTCTGCCCTTTCCAACTTGTCATTGCAAACTGTACCATTTTATAAACACAAAAATTAAAGAGGGACCAACAAACAAAGAAAAGTAATCCAAAGGAGATGTGAAGAGAGCAGGTTTTTATAGACAGGTTTCCTTTCCTTCAGTTCTGGCAGTAGATATACTAGATATCTTGAACAACTTCCCTTCTGAAAATGATTCAATTGCTGAGTAAGACTTGAAAACAATCAGGACATAAACACTTACATGTGCCAGAGCAGGGGTGGGTGTAGAGAAGGCTGGGGTGGGAACTGGTTGAGGCTGGATAAAGACTTCAGCTGGAATCACTCCACCTTCATCTTCCCTGGGCTTCTGATCAGCACAGTGACCGATGTCTGCATTTTTGAAGGATACTGGCCGTGCAAAGTCCATGGGGCTAACCAAATATAATTAAAATGAAACATTTTTTCCTTATTTTTCATTATCTTCCTTCCTTTACAATTAAATCAGACTCCCCGCTCCCCATCCATCATCAGTGCAGAATTCCAAGTCTAAATCAAAGGTCTCCAAGGCATCCTTTCCCCCACAGTTTTGCATAATTTGGATCAACAGTCTCAGACTTAAGGGTCACTTACGCAGAGTTGATTACAAGGTTCCATACACAGCCTTCAAAAGGAGGAATATTTCTGAGTGGGGAGGGTTGAAATTCGGGTGGAGCACCCCCAATGAAAAGCTTTTTGACTTCAATAGGCTGTTCTACTGTCAGATTTTGCGTATGTCTCCTGTCTTCATCAACTTGAACAGTAAAGATTCTGATAAAACATTTAAAATAAGCAAGTATGAATCACATAATATTTAATATAGTAGAAATTTTTTTCCTACTGCCCCTCACCCTTAGTTCCCATATCTTTTTTATTTGTTTGCTTAATTTTGGTTTTTTGACAAAGGCTCTTGCTCTGTAGTCCAGGCTGACTTGGAACTTGTGATTCTCCCGCCTCCACCTCCCAAATGCTGGGATTACAGGCATTTGCCACCACATCCCGCTCTTCTATACCTCTTAATTGAGCCCAGATTGGATGATTAGGAACTCTACATCAAGCAAAGAGTATTGTTCCCATGATTTTGTCCCATGCCTCCCTCATTAACTCTCCCTGAAAGTATGCTGAAACCAGGCAATCAGCAGCTCCAACATGAGTCTCTGGTGGAGGTGACAATCATGGTCTGTGGTATGTGAGAGCCAAGGCTTCTGGGCTGTGTAGCAATGTCTAATCATATAAGGATCAGTTGGTTTAGCACAGCATGGGGTCACATTTTGTGTGGCTCTTTATTTCTTGGTTTGTGCTAGCTATTATTTTGCTGGGGGACAAACTGTGTTCCTGAGAGCTTAGATTGCAGGAATCAACAGCAAACACTTACAGTATGCTTTATGAAGAATGTAGCTGCTGGCTTTTGAATAGAAGGGGCAGGCAAGAACACCAAGCTAATTGTTCCTTGCAATAATATTCCTTAGTGGCTGTTTCATCAATTTCCCTAATTTGCTTATGAGAGATAACTCACACACTACTAATTGAGAACTCATGCTACTTATTTACAACAACCCTTGAATCCTGGGGCAAAGAATCAGGAGACAGTGTTCCAATGATGAAAATGACCAAAGGCATTTTCTCTTTCGGCGTAGAAGCAGGTTTTGAGTTTGGTCTCAACAGTCCTAGTGGTGCCATTAGTCATAAGTGTTAATCACTAGCCGCAGGATCGTAAGTGGATTACTGAAAACTCACTTCCTATCAGAAGAGAAAATGAGAGGACTTGGGTAGAAAACTCAGTTCTAAAATGCCATTTTTCTTGATTTTATAAGACAGAAAAAATACAAAAAGAAGTGGAAACAATAAATCTGGGTGACAATGCTGTGAAACAGTTCTGAGTGCACTGAGTCGTGGATCCACTTTGGTACAATTAAGAAATGAGAGCATAATGTATGAAATAGAATGATGAAACCCATTACAGTTGCAATGAAAAGGGAGTATTATGAAAGAGTAATAGAGGGGATGAATGCGATCTAAAAGCATTATATGCATATATGGAAATATCACAAGGAAACCATTCAATTAATACACATTAATAAAAATTAAAAAACAAATTGGGAGTATAAGCCAGGCACCAGTGGCTCAGATCTACAGTCCTAACTATTTGAGAGGCTGCAATCGGGAGGATGGCAGTTAAAGCTAGTTAAAAAGTTCAGGAGACTCCATCTTAACTGATACTGGGTGAGATGGCATGTGCCTGTCTTCTTAAGTGACATGGGAGGCTGAGATAAGGAAGACTGCAGTCCAGGCTAGCTTGAGCAAAAGAGTTTGTGAGATCCCAACTCAATGGAAAAATGCTGGGTGTGGTGGCACATGCCTATCATCCCAGTGACAGTGGGAAGCTTAAAATAGGAGGATTGCACATGGTGCAGGCCTGCCTACCAAGAAGTGACACTCTATCTCCAAAATAACCGAGCACAAAGGACTGGAGGTGTGGCACTAGTAGTAAAGGGCCTGCTTGCAAGCATGAAGCCCAGAGATCAAATCCCAATGCTGCCAAAAAACAGAAAAGCAAATGAGAGCATAAAACAAAATAGATTTTGCCATGGCTCAAAATTTCACTGGGGAATGTAAAGCGGACAGGTCAGATTTAGTTTTAAAGGAGGAATGTCCTTTATTTTTTTTTTCTTTAAAAAAAACAGACGCAGGAAAAATGTGTTGGCAAAAATCAGGAGGTTCAGCTTCACTGTTAAGAGCATCAGTGGTTTATGAGACTTTTCAAGGACGATTCACTTCCCTCACTTCCAGGTATGTCTGACTCACTGAGAATCACCTCATCCACACCTCTGCTTCGGTGGAAAGCAGCCTTTTAGTAACATGATGAAGCAGTGCTATTAAAGATTATTCAAGAGTACACCCCTCTCTTAGTTAGAGGTTTAAGGAGCCACAGGTCCTCCTCTTTCTGGTAGTGACTCCCTGTAGTCTGCTTCTGTCCCAGGGACCACAGTAGCAGTCCTTTTCTACTGGACCCCAGGATAGTGATGACCGTGGGCTTTCCAAAGGAACAGACTGAAGTACCAATGTGGAAGTATGCTGGCAGCATGACCTTGGGCAAGTTATTTAATCATGCTCAGTTTTGTTTCAGTCATTTATAAAATGGAGATAAAAATGGCTGCTACAAACTGGGAAAACATTAAGGATTTGCCCCGAGGTCGTCTAACTTAATAAAGGCATTACTGGAAGATTGAGTAGCTGAATCCTGCTTGTATTTTACACTCTAGATGAATTAAATTTAAATACTTTATTTAGTTCTTTTGTAGAGAAGGATATTACCAACATGTCCATAATTCTGGTGTGTTTTTTGCTTTTTTCTTTTCTTTTTATTTAATAGCTTTTTTCTCTGAGCAATACCAAAATAAACACTGCATTGCCCATAATATTGTGATAGATTAGCTGCAATACTATTATTATTTTGGTGTTTGGTTTTCAGAATTTCATAGTAATTATTTTATTTCTTGCACTCTGTAACAAATCAGTAGGAATATTGGTCCAAGAATTTTTTCCCCAAGCCATCACCAATTGGACTATATAGGTGGACAACAGTTTTTTAAAAAAGTGCCTTGACATTAATAACGCATATAAAAATTAAAACTTGAATTTTTTGATTGAACATATTTTGGATGGCTAGAAAGAAAATATTTCACTGAGTTTTCAAATCATGATCTCATTCTGGAAACCATAAATTACTCTTGAAACATCTGGTGCAACTTCATGGTCATCAGCCTAATTCTGTACTTGTGTGTAGAATGTTTTCACAGAGGAGAAAGTCAACCAGTTGTTTTTCCTGGTTGCCTGAGGAACTATCTCAGGCCCTTTGAGCTTCATGTTTTTGTACAGTTAGAACTGCTGCCCACTGAGGTGGATTCCAGGAGAAGGATCAGAGGGCAAAGCAGGGGTCACTGGAGTAAAAAGTGACTGAAGTGAGATTTTTTTTCCCCTCAGAGGAAGGGGCAGAAAAGAATGTAGAAGCAGGGGTACAAAGAGGCAGAGGGACAGAGAAAGTCAACCTTGAGAAGTGTGTCCTACAATTCGGTAAAAAAAATATTCAATGATTTTATAAGGTGGTATAACAATTAACATGTATCCAGGGTGTTAGAAAAAGAAATGATGATTGACATGTGTAGTCTGAAAAGTGGGAGGAGTCAAATATTTCCAAGATAGTAACAGTATGTCATAATCAACATGAAGAAATACAAATCTACAAGACCATAAAAAAGGGTAAGAATAAACAGCTGGCCAAGCATTCATGGAGGCATTTACATCAAATGTATACCTGGATCTGTTGTTCCTGGTATATGATTTTGACAAGCTAGTTAATATTTCCTCATCTGTGAGGAAAGCATATTAATACACTTCTCACATACATTTAGGATAATTACAAAAACAATCTTGACTAGTATGTGACCCAGAGCATAACACAGAAGATAGGTGAGCACTGGGATGTTTCTGAGTGGAGTTCATGTGGTCATTAATGATCTGCTTAATCAGTTTCATGTAGAATTTGCTTACAGAGCCGACGATGATTGTGTTCTGATCTTAGAGCGTTGAGTAAAACATTATGGTAGCAAATGTGTTCCTGTTTGGGCACAGAGTTCAGTGACTAAACACTAATATGTCGAATACATTATCCTGTAATTAACAGTGAATGGCGAGACTGTTTGCTTATATGGCCAATTAACCGAATGACCAGTTTTTGGGGATGTACTATATACTGAGCTTAATCAAATAAAGATTGGATTGATGGTCAACAGCTGTGCAGTTGACGTAACGAAATGTCCTTCTTGAAGAAACACCTGTTAAAAGGATGTGGTAATTAATGCAACTGGGAATTTCATCATCCTTTCTCTGGAAAATAATGTATTTCAGGTGATTTTGGTCAATTGCTTTTCTCAAATCTTATGGAAATGTTTTGCCTTTAAAGACTTTTAGAAAGTTTCCACAAAGAAGGATTAAATTTGGTAAGCTGCCTAAAAATCTGACATAGAAGACATGTAAAATTGGTATTCCAAAGGATTTCCAAGATTTAGGTGAGAGATCCAGTCTGCCTTTCTCTCCAGAAGCCATCACTATAGTATCTAACTTTGAGATTAGTAAAGTTCTCAGTTTGGCTACATATTGACCCGTCATTTGTCTTAGTCATGGGTTCTAAACCTCTGGGTTAATAGGCAGTCTGCCTGAATGCTTAGCATCAATTCAACCCACAACTGAGTGTGCTATCTAATAATAATAAAATGAGAAAAGGAACGCATCATTATTTACTTAGAAAATAAGGAATCCTTATTACTTATCTAAACTGCAATCCACACAAAACGCTAATTAGAAAATACAGATCTTTAACTATAGAATAGCAACTGCTTATTTGAATTACTGCTACACACTCAGACTCTTGTTGCATTGTCAAGTGTCCTCTGTGTTTTGAGGACTCATCAGATCTAATTTCCAGTTCTTTTCACTGCCTCAGTTTAATAAATAGATTGCTGGTTGGGAATCTGAGGTCCCTGAGTCTCGGGGCTTCTGTTTTCTTTTGCTTTGATTGTTCTTCTAAACTAATTACCTCTCTGAGTTGTTGTGCAATATTTTGATGAAAAGTACAGATTTTTTTTTTCCAATAAAATAAGTGGAAAGTAGGACAACATTGTGAGGAAATGGGAAATCAGTTTTTTCTCCAGGCTCAGGCCTGGAGAAACAGTGCTTTTTTATGGGGGGCCAGGGAGGGGGCAGGCACCAGGTTTGAATTCACACTTGCTAGGTAGGACTTGACCCACTCCACTAGCCCTGGGGCAGTGCTTTTGTGAAACTGTAGAAAGGTGGCCTCCATGAATGGATTACAGGTCAGCTGCCATTCCCCTTCTAAGTCCTTGATTCTGTTCCTCATGAAGCCACTGCAGGGACCCTGCACACCTTGGGGAGGGGACAAAGAAGAGGCATGCACATAAGAGGCTCAGTAGGTTGTGCAGCTGCTGCTTTGCTCCATATCTGTGACCAGTTTTGAAGCAGCTGCCATAATGGCTTTGGAACCTGAGTGGAATAGCAGCTGCCAAAAGCTGCTGGCTTGAACCAAGCTACCCTGCATGTTTCACTGCACGCAGACCTGAGAGCAGACAGACTACTTACGCGGTGTGGCAGGAGGGCTGCTTCTTAACTATACTTCAAAGACGGAAAGAAGAATTGCACAGAATAAAAATGAACAGAACTCCAAGGGCCCAGGTAAATGAGTTCGTGAAATGGAAAGAAGAGGAAAGGAAGCTACTTCCTCACCAGGTAGTACCACACATGGTATGGCCACACACAGAGGGTCAGGTGGAAACCAACACTGGCCAAGGAAGCTTATGTTAGTCACACCAGTGAGTACACTAGGACTATAGTTACCCTCTGGTTCTCTCCACATGAACAGAGTGTTCTCTTCCATCATGAAACAGACTTGGCTCTGGTTTGACCACAATTTTCCTCATTGTTCGTGTGCCCATGGAGAGATGCACTTCCAGACGACCTTTGTTGAGGAATATGGCATAGTAGGCCTGCAACAACCAATGGTTATTGAAGATTAAACAGGAGTCTCACCTATGACTTAGCTGTGGAGATGTTCTGACAGAACCTCAGATTCATTGCCCTCTTAACCCAAGAGGTTAAGACTCAATATTTTCTTAAACAGAGTTGGTAATATAACTGGAAATATGTTTTTGATCACCTGCCATTGTTGCTTGTTAGCTGATGTAGCCAGTAGCCGTAGCAGTTCTCGGCCAGGCAGGTTTGTGATGCTGAATGTGACAGCTGTGCTGTATTGGTCTTCTAACTTACAAAACCATCAGGAATCAAAGGGTCAACAAAATCCCTCTTCTTTATATTCACAAGTGGGCAACCAGCTTCTGGAAATCAGGCCTGACTTTAAACCTCATGGTATTTTGAGTGTTTATACTTCAATTTGTCCTCGGAGCTGGTGGAATAGATTGTTATCACAAACATGTAACTTGTCTCCCCACATTTAGAAAGAAGGGAGACAATTTTTCATCCACAAACATGCCTGCTTTTTTCTTGCTACCGTTACCATAGCAACCAGTATGGTTTTGATATCTGATTATGAACCTTAGGGAGCCTGGATGCAGTCCTTGTCCCCAAAGCTGAAGTCACGTGTATGCCTTTCCTTGTTCAATTGTGGGGCACCTGTAGCCCAGTAATCACTTGGTCCTCCATGGGTAATTGATGGTGATGGAGAAGACATCTCCACGTCACCAATAATTTACCAATTCATCTAGGCAGCTACATGTCCTGCACAAAATGTTCTGAGGAGCTGGTTTAGCACTCACCATCCTTAAAGGGACAATGCCAGCTACTCACTCAGAATGTCTTAGCTGGTCGTTTGACATCTCAAACCCATTTAGCAGAACACGATCACAAATGACCCTCTGGGTATCAAAACTCTTAGCTCTGAAGTATATAATTTTTCAGTTTAATCAGCACTGATTCTACGACAGATGAACTATTTAACACTGTTTCCCTCTTCAGATAGCAATTACTATTGACTTTAAAAACTAGATATTCATTATCATTAAAATGTTGTGTATTAAAATTTCATTTCTAATTCACTTTGTACTGCAGTACTTAATATTCTCTTTTTAAAATTGTTCTAACAGGAACATGTGCTGTTTTAAGAACTATTTTGGAAGCTTGTACAGAAGAAATTTGGAACCAGTCAGCGGTGCTTAATTATTTGGAAATGACCAAGAAAACAAATATCCTTTAGCATAAATCTATCTCAGAATGTTTGGTCTGGTTATCTTATCAGCAACCAGCTTATCATTTGTAAGTGTGAGAAAAGAATTTTAACTTTCAGAATTAAAGGATAAAAGACTTAAGAGAGCATTTATATTTTATATGTATTCAGTGATTATTACATGCAGTGAGAAATGAAACACCTTTTCTCCCTCTACAAAAATATTTGTATTGCAGATATTTGATACATTCCTCATAATGTAAGTATACACATGTAAATGATGAAGCTGAAATTCACACTGTGCAATAAAATCTGCCTGTAAATCTAAGAAACTATCATTTTTATCTTCTGTAAGCTTCCTCCTAATCCCATCTCCCTACTTCTCTATCTCAGAGGTAACCCAAATATGGATTTTACACTTATCTATATTTATTACACTTATTTTATATTCATTACCAAGCTTTTTAAAAATTCACTATGTCTGTAAAAATATGGTGTTAGTGCTTCTTGTATTAGAAATCTATTCAAAATGGTGTCATGCAGTAAGCAGAACACTTCTGCCTTCTATTTAGTTTCTATTCATTCATATTGTCTTGTTCAGCTGCAATTTTCCCTTGTTACTGCTGCTTAATTCCCCTGTTAGGCAAAAATGCTAGTTTGCCTATCTGTTATAATCCAGCTGTTATAATCCAACCCAAATCCAACATTTGGGTTATGTCTAATTTTTCTGCTTCTGTGAGCATTCTTGTACATCACACTACACACTTATGTGAGAGTTTGGGTCTATCCATGGGAGTGGAATTGCTGCCTAGTAGAGTGTGCATACATTCAACTTTGTAAGATGGTGCCAAGTCATTTTCCAAAGTGACTGTAGGTTTTTTAGTCTTTCTACCAGCAATGATTAAGAGATCCCTTTGCACATGCCTGTAATTCCAGCTACTCAGGAGGTAGAGATCAGGAGGATTACAGTTCAAGTAGCCCAGGCAAAAAGTTAGTGAGACCCCCATCTTACATGGGCATGGTGGCTAATGCCTGCAATCCCAGCTATATAGGCGGTATAAATAGGTGGTTGCCATCCGAGGCTGGCCCCAAACAAAAGTGAGACCCTATTTAAAAACTATTTAAAACAAAAACAGGGCAGAAGGTATGGCTCAAGTGTTAGAGTACTTGCCTAGCAAGCATGAATTCCTGAGCTCAAGCTACAATACTGCTAAAAAAAAAAAAAACTTCCCTTTAACCAAAATCTTGCCAACAGTTGGTACTATCTTATTTCTTAATGTTTTACCATTCCAATAAGTATAAAATCTAGAGTGGATGAAAATTGCATTTCCTCCATTAAACTGAAGCTGTACATTTAAAAAATATGTTTGTGAATCAATCACATTTTCTCTTCTGTGAAATGGCTAATCAAATCTTCTGCCCATCCTTAGATATGTTTCTGTCTAATATTGATTTGTAAGAGTTACTTTTATATGCTGGCTGTTGTAATTTTGTAGGTTATGTGTACAATAAGTTTCTAGGCTGGGACTTGTGTTTTGTGTTTCCTGATGAATTGATAGTTTTAATATTAATGCACTTGTGCTTACAATCTTGTTTTGTTCAAGAAATTGTTCCCTTCCTCCAGATCAAAAGTTATCCTTCTATATTTTCTCCTAAAATCTTTAAAGTTGTTTTCTTTCCATATTTAAGACATTAGTTCACAGGGAATTTTTCAGTTTGGTATGAAGTAGTAATTCAGTTTCAGTGTTTTCCATAGATAACAAGTTGTCCTGGAACTTGGCCCACTGTGTTCTTGGTGATCTGTAAAGCTACCTATTTTCAAATGCCATTTCCTTCTATGCTCTCCATTCTCAGGATTCTTAGGGCTGTCTATTCTATTCCACGAGGACAGAATTGTCCATGAGTGAATATCATATTAGCACCCAAAACTCTGGCTTGCAATGCACTGATATTTGGTAGCACAACTTTATCACCTTGTTCTTCTATTTCAGGACTTTTTTGGGTCTTTGATCTTTGACATAAATTTAAAAACTAGCTTGTCATAGTTTGCAAAAAAGATAAGGTGGTATTTTATTGAAATTAAATCATATATCACTTTAGAGAGAATTCATATATTTTTAGTGTTGAAAATGTCTTGCCATTAACATGTTCACTAAGCCCATTTATTGAGGACTATTTGAATGCTTTTCAAATCATAATTTTCTCCATATACACATGATGTCTAATTTGTTATATTCATTCTTAAATTATATGCTTGTTTTTTGTACCACATTTAATTATTATTTTCTTACTGCATAAGACCCAGTGCAGTAAAACTGCCATCCTTTTCTTGGGTTTGATTTTATAGCACACGTTTGTAATGTTTTCCTATCAAGAAAGCTTGCTCTAGACTTTTTATAGATGGCTAAGAAATTCCTTCCTTATCTTAGTTTGATTAGTAGTTTTAAAAAGATCATGAATGGTTGCTAAATTTTACCCAAATGTTTTCCTATATCAATCAAAATTATTATATGATTTTTAAATGTTCTAATATGAACAGCTCCTGCATTCCTGAGACATCCCAAATCAATCAGCATTCTAGACTATTTGATTCTATTTGCTAATACTTTGTGTATATGCTGTTACTTTTTAGGAAAGGAATAAAATTTTATTGCATAATGTTATTAATTATTATATATTAAATTCTAAGATTAATATTAAAAACACATAATACAAAAATCATGCAACCTGATTTACAAAGTTGTGTGTATATTTATGGACATTATAAACATTCCATTCTTCTGATCATGGTGAATGAGGTAATTCCTATGAGCCCTCTCACTAAGAAAAACTAGGTGAAATGAAAGATTATCATTTAAAAACATGATTGGAGGCACTGAAGAAATACCAAGGGAGTGAAGAGTTCTAATACCTAAATCTGGTATTTGAGAGATTGCTTTGAATAGAATCAGATGGCCAGGGGCTATAAATCCTCAAGTTTACATCCTTACAAAGTGGATACTCTTTAGACTTTATTTTAATATCCTTTAGTTAGTCTGGGCTACAATGTGCATGTCAGAGTTGGCTTTGTCTGCCATTTCCCATCCCTGTGTCCAGAGAGGGTGGGACTGGTCAGGCTCCAACAGACTGCATCACTTTTAGCTAGTGCAACTGGGAAACTGATCCCAGCAGAAATTTAAATTCAAATTTAACAGATTCTAGTAGAATATCCATAGATATGGCAAGAAGTTAAACTTAGACACAAGAAAAGATTAATATAATTTGAATGTATTTCATTTTCCTTTTTATATATGTAAATGCTAAATCCATATGAAATACAGAGCAAATATAGGTATGACTTGACCCTTGGAACTAATCAACAGGACGATCTAGAGAGTCCAACTGTCCTAGGAAGAGGATGTGAAAGCAATCCTGGATGAGTTCCGGTTAGCACACATGGCAGTTGAAGTGAATGATGCAAATCTGAAAACATAAAAGCATTTTAATTCTGTTCTTTAAACACTAGGGAAAAGGAGAGCACCTGTCCAGTCTGCCTTCGCTTTCTCTGGGTGCTGTTGGCGTCCCTCCACTCCCCAACAGAATGATCCCAGACTCATTCTTGGTGCTGAAAGACAGATTGATATCTGTTCCTACATCAATTGGCACAGGGTGAGCTCCACAAAACCAGGCTTGGGGAAGCTAACTGTGTAAACGTTCTGTGGGTAAAAGAGAAAAAAATCATTAGAAATGAAAATTTCAATTATTCTCTCCAGTCTGGCGTGATGACTAGTAATCACAGTTAATTGGGAGACGAATAGGAGGGCAGTGATTTCAGGTTAGCCCAGTAAAATTATTAAGAGCCTATCTCAACAGCAACAACAAAAGCTGGGCATTGTGGTATACATCTGTAATCCCAGCTACTTAGAAGGCAGAGGTGGGAGGCTCACCAATATGAGGCCAGCCCAGTGGAAGTTAGTAAAAGACCCTATCTGGAACATAAGCTAAGAAAGCAAAAGGACTATGAGCATGGCTCAAGTGCCAGGGAGCTTGCTTAACAAATGTGAGCCCCCAAACCATCAATAAAATAAATAAACTAAAATGCATTAATTAATCTCTTCATCTTTCTTGCCCTCCTCAATGTACTCAATGTGATTATAAAATACAATGTAGTTTTAGAAAACATTAGAGCTCATAGTTCCATGAAAAGTTTAGAAACAGTTGAAGAAATACTATTTCTATTTATTACTTTGAATCTTCTGAGCAGTTTAATTTAAAAATCGCAATTATGCCCTCTGCTTTTAGTGCAGACCTTTTGATTTAATATATATAAGATCAGCATTGATAGATAACATTTTCTTTCAGTTTAAATTACCTGCTCCCTCTCTTAAAAATATTGTAACTAATCCTTTTAATACACTCTAATATAATTAATTATTTATGCTTTAAAGATGAGTCCGACCATGTCTTGAGTCTATATTCTCTCATAATGAGCCCCTAGGAAAGATGTTTATTACCACTAAATGTGTGAACACTCTCTAGAATAACTTTTATAACTCAGATACAACCTAAATTTTAGAAATAAAGAAACCAAGCATTTCAGAGTCCAATTTTTTTCAAAATGAAAATAATATTGTTCTTTCTCATTACAAAATTAATACAGCTGTGCAAAAGAGAGAGCACAATCCCTTGATCCCAAAGGCTGCAGGAGCATGAAGCCTTCCATAATTCATCCATTTAACCTTTCAAACCATGCCCTCTTTCTCCTCTTCCTGTCTTTAAACTGAATCAGGACAGACATAGTCTTTTGTGGCATTTTTTTTTCATTTAAGTATGAGGGAGATATCTATATTGGTAAACACAGATCGTCATCACTTTCAATGGCAGGAGGACATTCTATGAATGTGCTAGCATTTATTTAAGTAAATGCCCATGTTGTTAGGCATTTAAAGTGCGTAAAATATTCATTTTTAAAGTCCTGAGTTTTGATGGAGTAAAAGCAAGGAATCCTTTCATGTAGGCTATATTCCACCCATAGTGTTTCAAGCTTGCTTAAATGACACAAGAGTTGGTAAAATGTATAATTTACTTTCTATTCCAATTTTCAAATTATGGAGTTTTAGATAGTTCAGATAAAGCTACTATGAAGGCTTTTCAATATTTATCTACATCAAATTTCATATTTTACTTGTAAAATAATTTCTGGTTGCTAAAAAGTGTCTTTACAGAATCATCCTTTCCATGCATACAGGCTATTCATTTTCTGGACAGTTTTCCATTCTTGTGTATATATCTTTTGAATGTGGATGAGAGTTAGGCTTTGAAGATTAAATCTCTCAGTAAAATTTTCTTTAAGAAGCCAGTATGGGTCCTTAGAGTTCTGATTCTTTCTGTATTTCCTTTTTCCTTATTTCTAAGCTCAGAGTGGGTGTCTATGGCCAAGTCTAAATTAGAGCCAGCAGCTATGAACAATAAAGACCTTGAAAGTTCTCTGCCAGTCCTGCTTAGAAGGCAGATTCGCCTTTTCTTTTTCCCTGTCCTCTCTTCAATTCTTTGAGCTCTACTGCAGTGCTTTAAAATAATGTTAATTAGAGGAAGCTGCCAGAATGAATAGTTGTGTCGTAGCAGATAATTAAAAATTTGTAAGTGTGGTATACTTGACATTTGCTTATTTATAAAAGCTCACTATTATGTTCCCATAAAATTCTTGCAAATATTTTCTGTTTACCAGTGGCTCTGGTTTATAGATATTTTAAGAGAAGAGAGCTATGCCCTGAGTCTTTCTTCTATATGGTTTAGCCTCAATTATAGGGTTTGTACAGAACAGTCAAAAGAATCAGGGCCTTTAGGCTGCTTTAGCAACAAAGAAGAGATACTGAGAGACACAAGACTTTGCTTTCATGTCTAGACCTCTGTAGGGTTGGATATCGTGGCTCTCAGCTATGTTATTTCCAAGACAAGGCAGATAGACTTCAAAGCTGTTGACAAGATACTGTGCACCATGGTTATGGTGTACGTTACTACCTGCTGTTTGTTCAAATTCTCAATACATTCTGGAAAAAATTAATGTTGCTTATAAAGCACACATAATACAGAAAGAGAAAATGAATTTAAAATGGATGATGAAAATGAGGAAAAGTAGTGTTGGAAAAGAAGAGATAACCAGAGGAGATATTCATATTGAAGACACATGCTATCCACTGAAGGGTATACATCTGTTAAAATGGGGCATAATTTTGGGTCTTCATAATGCCATTTCTGTCACAGTAATTTATAGAATGTTTCAAATCTGGCTTTATCATTTGGGTATAGCCAAGACCAGGATCAGTAGAAATCAAAATATATTAACAGAGGACCAATTCTTATAAAAGCACCCAAATTAAGTAAGTAAATATGATATAAGTGCAGTTTGGGTGCATTTAAAACATACCCACCTCCAGTGAACATCCTTTGGTAACACCAACGTAGTCAGGACTACTGAGTATATTGTATGGCGTTCGTGAAATCTCAATGTCTCGGAGGCAGCCGGAATATTTCTTCACATTTACCTCTGGCCTATTGAACAGTCCAATGGAAAACAAAAGCAATGTCATTAGGTGATGGCAGTGTGGCATCTGATCACTGGAAGGAAGCCACAGGGAGCAAACAGACACAAAGGCAAGAACACATCTACCAAACGGCACACGTGCACACATGTACCAGTTAAGTATACCTTCCCTTATCTGCTGGTTGGATTAAGTGGCTTAAGTGGCTGTTAACACTGTACTGCAGAAGGAGTCTTGATGTGGTTCTTCTCTTCCTCTTTAAAAAAATCTTACCCAGAGTCTTTCAATATAAGGTACAGGAATAAACTGATTTATTAATGCTTCATGTGCTTAATGAAACAAATGTTTCTTTTTTCCACTGAAGAGAAGATAATTATGTAGGCAGTGTAATCAAATTACATACAAAAATGCTTTATAAATCTTGCTGAAAATTTGGGAAAAATTGTCTGGAAATATTTATTTTCAAAAATATTTCTGAATCTGGAAAGAAAAGTACTTGTATATATATTTTGTATACATATTATACATTTCTTTTACCATCAGGGTCTTCTTTACTAGATAAATCTAAGTTTGGTGGTAAAATAAAAACACATATACCAAAGTATTACTTTCAAAAAAAAATTGTTTCATTGAGATTTTTTGGGGACAGAGCCTGAAGAAAAAGATACTGCTATTAATTCTTTTTAAAAAAGCTTTTCAATAATGCAAAGTCCGAGGCACATTCTTCTGGATTGCATGGCCCTCCCAAAAAGAGATTTGTAAAATTAGGTTTATAGACTGACCCCCAAGATTTGTATTCTAGGTTGCAACAATAACAAAACAAAGCAACCAAATGCAAGACAGATATATTTAGTTTTTCCAATAAAGTTGAAAGTGGCTTCTGTGCCCACACTACGATTGAGTGTTTGCTTTCTGCTCACTACTTTTTTAAATGGAGCAAACATGCTGGTAGATTAGAAAATGAATTCCTTGTGTGAAGTGTGGTGGTATACATCTGTAATTCTAGCACTCTGAAGACAGAGGCAGGAGTTTGAGGTCAGCCTGGGCTATGAGACCTGCCTCAAAAACCAACAGAGCGGTAGGGGATGAGGAAAGGAAAGGAGAGAAAGGAGAGAGGAGGGGGAGGAGTGGAGAGGAGGGAAGTAAAGGAAAAACACAATAAATTCCTAGTTCTGGAGTCACGTTGCTCTGATTTACTATGTGATATTAAGTGACCAGATTTCTCTAAGCATCAATGTACTTATATGTGAAATCAGCACAATAATAATAATAGCACCTACATTATCAATTTGCAAAGTTGGGATACATTTAATGAAGAGCACAGTGCAGGTTATGCTCAATTAACATAAACTAGCAGGATGTCTGTGGCATTGTGTCCAAGGAGACTCTGATGAGGGACATGTCCTGTTCTGCACTGTTCAGTTCAGCCATCTGTCACTATGGGGACTGGGAATGTAGCGTGTGCTAATGAAGAACTAAGTATTTATCGTATTTAACTGCTTTAAATTTAAAGTTAAATAGTCACTACTGTGACTAGTGGCTATCATGTTGAACAATGAAGATATATAGAGGTAGATGTATTTGTTTCTTACGCAGTGCTGATAAGCATCTGGAGAAAGTGTCCAATGGACACCACTATTGTGCTTGGTAGGCAAAGATTAATTCTTTCCTCATTGTCCTCTGATGCCAAGTTTCTTTTTTTTCTTCTTAATAAACAACACATGGCATGAAGAAAAACAGGTGAGAAAGCAAATTAGACCCTGGCAGTGTGTATTGGGTGATTTATTTCATGTTAGGTATTTGTTTTGTCCTCCTCCTCCTAGCTCTCTCTCTCTGGAACTTCTTTACTTTCTTTGATCTTTTTCCCTTGTCCCCAAGGACTCTCCTTCTGTCCCTTCAGTTAGTAATTACAAGGAGAATGCCCAACTGGAGGCAAGGATCTTGTTGATATCCTTCTTGCACAAAGCAAAGGGGGTGGGAAATTTCACTTGCAGTGAAATCTAGGCAGTTAGGCTCTGAAATGCCAAAACATTAGGTTTTAGCTCTAGCCAGAATGTGCCAGTTCTGCACATCTTGGATTTGATCAACCGCTTACAGAGGCTGCTAATTCTTGCTAATGCCTATCTACAAGTAAGAATTAAATTGTTCTTGAGGAAGCTAGGGAGACTGACTGTAAAGTTCTTCTCTGTTAATTTAAACACTTGTTTTAAATGTAGTTTTTCAAAGATTCTTTACACCAGGATTCATAGCTAATTCTAAATCAACATGATAATAATAAGCAGCTTTGACAAAAGGTGTAAAGTCCGTGTAAATGAGTTTTTTCAGGCCCGCAAAAAGCAATAAGGCAGTGGTAAGCATTCGGGAGCACAGGTGGATTGTTCAGCAGACAGCATGGTCTCCCAAGAGATGTTTTTCCCTGTGTTCAACAGAGCTAGCCCCTGGCCCATAAATTTGCCCAGCTGCCCTTTGAGCATGGCGTGTGCTCTTGGCCACCAGGGGGCACTGTGCGCAGGTGGTTGAACAAGTAAGCAGAGCAGTTCTATTATCGCTGGTGAAAATATGCAAATGACAGCCCAGGTGTTGGTGGGTAAGCAGCAGTGTCTTCGCCAGTGAAGAGCAGCATGAGAACCTTCTCAGAACACATTATTTGCTCATGAAATGTACTATGAAGGAAGCTTGCACAGATGTTGCTCTTTCTGCACTGCTGCTTTATCTAAGAAGCCACATTTACCCAACCCATGCACTCGAAGAAGGCATGCATAAATTTAAATTTTACCTTGCTTTCATACTAAGTCAAAGGGGAGAGAAAAATAAAACAATTTACTTCCAGTTGCATTTTCATTTAATCAATTACTTTAATCATAAATCTTATAAAAAATATCTCACATAGAAGGAATAAAAAAACCGAACAGAACAAAAAATAGACTTAATGCCCTCAACTGAAGGGAAATCAGAATTCAAAGATACTGATTTCCCATTCTGTTCTCTTGGACAATATTTATTTTGAAATATGAATATATAGTACTTATTTTAATTGATCCAGTGTATGGCAAAGTACATAAATGTAGCATTTATGAGTAGCTTATAAATATTGCCTATCAAAGAGTTTAACAATATATTTTAAAATAATTTGTTTAACATATATTTTATAGTTTATCATACTGAGATCCAGACTGTGTACAAATCAACAGGAAACCATGAACACTTGATTCCTTTATCAATCACAAATACACACCTAAAGATTATTTTGAAATAATGTGCTATACTATAGTAAGATTGTAATTATAGAATGGCACACTGAGAAAGTAAAAAAAAATCTTAGTGATAAGGATTCATTTAGAAATACAGTCTCCAAAGTAACTAAGACATTAATTCTTCTCAATGATGTTAACACATAACATATCTAAACATCACTTTATGATAATTAAGATAATCACTGGAATAAATGAAGCTAGGTTTAGATAGCTTTCTTTTACTATATTTAATTCACTTAATAGATATAGTTTATGATTTTGTAAAGTAAATCTTGAATTTGAACAACACAGGATCCCTAGCATTTAGTTCAATGTCTAGCACACTGTAGACTTTCAATAATCATTTGTTGAATGCCTATTTAATAAATGGTTTTCCATAGAATGTCTATATCACTATTCAAATACATTTGACTTGCAATGATTTTTTTGACTTGACACTTTAAATCTATATTCCTAACACAAATACATACACTATAATATAGATTAATACACATCTGGTTTATTTGCACCATGAAGCATATCAAGTTATACCCTTGAAAGATTGATAATTAGACAGTTGCTTGGTCTGTGAGTTTAGATTTAGAGAAAAGAAACCTCAACGTGTATGTTAGCTGACAAAAAATGAGACTGAAGTTCCACTGCTCAATTGAAAAATATTGAAATAACTGATCACCTTACTTTTCAGTAACAACTCAATATTCTGAGATTTCTCTAAATGTAAGCTCTTTGTGGAGTAGCAACATGTACACAGGACTTTTATACTCATTAAAAACTATCAAACTAATCAAAACAAAAACTTAAAGATGGGCTCCTCTGCATGTGTAGTAAATTCTTATGGTTTAACCAAGACAGTGCATTCCATTCTAGTTAAGTTCATTTAGCATTTATTGAGTACCAAATACTTATGGATATTATTTCTTATGTCTCATAATAAGTAGTAAGTTAATTAAATACAGTATGAAATATTTCAAGATATTTTCTAGTTACTTTTTTGAAATGAACTAAACTATGAATTAAAGATGTCTTCTCATTCTGCTTTCTACAAAGCACATGTGAAATTAAAAAAATGTTGGCATGGGCATAAGAATAACTAAGATAATTAGTTATATGGGATAGCTACAATATACTATTATGATGGTAATGCTTAGCAATAAAATAGGTTCTTCTCACAGTGTCCTGGAACACTGACTAATTTTCAGAACACTAAGCAATGTCCGACAGCCACTATCTCCAGTGAATGTGCAAGGAGAACAGCAATTACAAGATCCACATTCAGCTCTACCTTCTACCTCTAATTACTTTCAGAACTCTTTTCAGAAGATGCAGATAAGGGAAATAGTGATTCCAATCTATCTCTTCAACAAAGATGTCAGATTAATCCTTTGCTTTTTAAATTCTGGTGTTGTTCTAGCATGCAACATGATTTTCTTTTGACTAGACATTTAGGCAGCTAGCTATATAACATTCCTACTGTAATTAAACTTTAGCACAATGGCCATTTAATTATATCTTAATCTTTAGCTTTAAATATACACTAAGTTACCTCAAGTTTCTCAGGGTTGGCAGGCCACCAAAATATATTTTGTCATCTGCTTTCAAGTCAAGACCAAAGTTGTTTCCAGAAGATGAAGTTGCTATGTTCTCCTCCTGGTTAGTATCAATATCTACAATTGATATGTTGGCTGTAGAAGGAGATAGGAATTTTATTATCTAATTTGAGCAATGACCACATCTATGTTATCACTGATACTTCAAGAGAAGTTTAATGTGCAAATTAACATAGACTTTTTCAAGCACATGTACTACATTTAACCATTTAATAATTGCAGAAACAACAGTAACATCAATAACGTACATTACTCAACCATCCAGAGAAGGGAGTGTGAAAATAAGAGCTTTAACACAATGATGGTGAATCATTGAAAAGACTTCAAAGAACTACTTGGTGTAGTTTTGCATAATATTGCTAAGTAGTTAGAAAATAAAGTAGGATAATTATATAAGGGTTACCATGACTATCTAAGTAGGAATTGGATAATTAATTAGAAATAGGCTGAATCTGTGGCTCTTCACATGAATTTCAGTATCCACATAACTGAGGATTTAGGCTCATCTGAAAAGTGTTACTTCTTGTGAATATGACTATCATAGGAGTGGAGAGATGGGAATGTTTGATTCTGTAAGACAGTGGGACCCTCCTCCACTGCAAATTACATTTTAAATTGGGAAGCTGTTGTGAGGGACGTACAGTCCTCATGCCTTATTGCTTTTCTCTTGAGTCTCTCAAGTTATTTCTCTGTATGAAGGTAAAAATTGAGAAAGATTTGGTCTCTGCAGGATCTAGATTATCACCAAATTGAAAATGGGCATTTGAACCAATTAGTTATAAAGTAATTTCCAAATAATCATTGTTCAGGATGCCAGTTTCTTAGATGTTCCTGGTTCAAATAAGTATGACAAATAATAAACAAAGTTAAGCATATATCTTAATTTTATGGCTGTTCAGCTCTTTCAACATTCTCATATGCAATACAGTGCCTAAAGAGAGGAACATGGAGAAAAAAGTACTTCCCAAATTTGTTTGACCATGGAATATTGTCATTTTTCTCTCAGTTAATCATCTTTCAGAATTAGTGTTCTTTGAAAAACAGAGAAATATCAAATTTCAAAATTACATCATCATCTATATCCCTATCATTCCAAAAGGATGCATCTTCAGTAGAAATCAAACATAGTCAGGAGGGTAAAACAGGTCTTTTCTAGAGGTAGATAGTGGGAGGTGGGAGGACATAAGGAAAGGGTAAATAAGAGTGAATACGTTGGATGTATTTTGTATCCACATATGGAAACAGAAGAATGAAATCTGTTGAAATTGTTCTAAGAGTGTGGGAGGGGAAAGGACAGAAAATGATGGAGGGGGTAAATCTAAGAAATATTGTAAGCTCATATGTAAATATTACAATGTATTCTTTATACAACAATCATATGCCAATAGAAAAATAAATAAAATAAAATAAGGATAGATTTCTATCTATCTTTAAATCCTAAATAAAAAAAAAGATCAAATGTACTTGCCATATAAAAATGACCAAAATCAAATATCCAAACCTATTAATACCTCAAATCCTCAAAGCAGATTTTTGTAAAAACAACCAGCGATGATAACTAAAAAGAACAAATGTCCTATTAAAGCATATTAACAGGTGAATATTTTAAAATCTAATTAATTTTATAAACTTTAATTATTTGATTAAATAATTAGTTTCTTATTCATCTAGCTCCTTGATTGGACTAGTGACTAAAAGAAAATAGATTTATAAAGCTATTTTCAAGACTTCTTCATATATATTCCTTTCTATCGAGATCACAAAGAAGTTTTTATGTGGTGCTGTTGACTGGAACATGAAAATCAGCTCTTTCTGCAGACTTGGTGAATATTTTAATGGTGTCTGGGAAATGAGATTCTGCCTCTATCACTGGCAAGCCAGTGACTGGAGGTAGTTTTCCTCCTTATCCCTGAGTGAATATATGCATTTTTAGAAATCATTCTAAGAAAACTGATTAAAGAGCAGCAACACAATCCAATTGAAACTCACTGGCCCAAGAGCTAACTCTGACAGAGAGATGTAGGATGGTATATTTTTACTAACTTATAGGAATTTACTCTATCCTCATGAGTGATAACAGCAAAGTGGGTTCTAGTAGGCAATGAGAATGCTCACTTGTATTTCTTGCCCTATTTCTTTCCCTTACAGAATAGGAAAGTAAGCTATTAACAACATTTCAAAGTTGGTAAGTCTGACTATCATTTTTATAGATAAGTAGGGAAATAAGGGTTTTATTAAATAATAGAAGGGCTTTTAACAAGTAATTATATAAACAGTGCTGAGTTGTTATAAGCCTATTGTTTTTACTTTGGCAATTCTCTAATTCTCTCTCTTAATGCATTGAAAACCTAAATAATTATTCTGAAATTTGTTTCCGTATCAATGCTCTTGAGGGTAGTGACAGGCTTCTGTTAGTGACTTACTCTACTGACTAGTCTAGGGAAAGCATCCCAGAAGGAAGGATTTGATTTTCCAAGGGGCAGTGGTTATTACAAACTAGTTGAGAAAAATTCATGCAAACAGCTACCCTGGTCACTGGAAAGAAGCAATAATCCATGTTGCTGGTGCCTTAGTTCAATTCCTATCTCACCACTCTGTGGACTTTGATCTTGCTAAAATCCTCAGGAACTCCCCCACACCAACCCTTTTCTTACCTCTTTGTTCTTAATCTTCCTCCCTATTTCTTTCAATGCTTCTGAAATGCGATTGTCTTAATGCACCTTCCTGTGCCCATTTCTTAGTTTTAGCCTTCTGTAAGCTCAAGTGTTACCTACTTATAATATACTGATAACTAAAAAATATGTTTGCACTAAATTTTTGCCTAAAAATCCACATTCAACAGATGAGGCACCATCATTTGTTTTTCTTTTAGTACTGAACATATTCCAAATCAAAATGGTGATCTTTTTACTCCAAATCTGTATTACTTATTTTACTTGGTGGCACCATGCCCCCCCCCTTGCAATTTTCTAACCTAGAATGTCATCTCACCTACAATTTACATTTAATCAATCAATATCCTTACTGATATTTCTTGTCTTAAATAACTATGCTATTTGAAAAGTTTTACTGGCATTTGATTAACATATAAATTGCTCATGTTGAAATATGTATCACCTATAGAACACATCATTCCATGCAAAAAGTGAATATAACTGTCACCACAAGTGTTTTCTTCTGCTTCCTTTTAATTCCTCTTCCTTACCTGTCCCTACATACCCTATCCACAAGTAGCCTCAATTTGCTTTCTGTGACTGTAGATGAGTTTGTGTTAGCCAAACTCATTATGTATACTAAAATTATGAATATAATTTTATATAAATATTCTCTTCTTTGTCTGTCTTATTTCACTCAGTAATTATTTTAATATTTATCTATTTTGTATGCATATTAATAGTTTATTACCCTTTATCACCACAACTTGTGGTCCATTTACCTGGTGATGGATGTTTGAGATGTTTAAAGTATTTGGTTATCACAAATGAACTTGACTTTGCACAGATACATGTGTCTTGGGTGAATACCTAGGAGAGGGATGGCTGGCTCACACGGCAGGTGGGCTTGCCAACATATTCATCAGTGTTACTGTGTCATTTAACATTCTCATCTGCAGTGTGTAACAGTTTCAAGTGTTCCACATCTTTGCCAACAATGCATATGATCAGCCTTTTAAAGTTGAGGCATCTAATAGCCATATGATGCTATCACTTTTGGGACTTATTTTGCCTTTCCCTAATATTAAATCCCAAGGTAATTCTCATTTCACTGTTTTTAAGAGAAGCGTTAAATAAATGATAGTACTACCTTTTTGAGACTGCATTTATCATCTGTAATTACACAAGAAGTTTGTATTTTTCTTTTGTGGATTATATGTTTATAATATTTGCTTCTTTTTATATTGCAACTTCAATAGGAAAATTAATTCATGTTAATTGACCTTCTGAAATAATAAAATGCTTAAAAAGCATCAGAGAAAATATGTTGGACATAAAAGAATACATGTGGTAAAATACAACAGCTAGAATTTTATTATAATAAGTAATTTTATGTATTTTGCTTGAGAAATTAGTGGTGAGACATAAGGCATAGAGAGAAGGAAACAACCATGGGCAGGAGAATGAAGATGTCCCAAACTAACCTGAGAATCAGGTAAAGAATAACTGAACCCCAGAGGACTTAATGTGACATTTTTATGACAATACTGTACAGACACATGAGAGAAGGTAATAAGCTAACTCATGTCACTAAGACCCAAAGTAAAAGTGAGAATGATGTTTGACTGAAGTACTTAAGAAGGTCAAATAGCAATGGGAATGTAGAGTCAATCTGAAGGCCAGAGAGGACTGCTAACCCACAGTCCTTTGTGCTTTACTATCTGCTCTTGCTTTTTACTGTGACCATTCTATCATTCTTTCCAAAGCATCTGAAGACCTCTATATTTCCAAAAATGCTGAATTTGTGTGCTTTTATCTTCCTTGAGCATTCTGCAACATATCAGTTAAACTCTTCCATCTTTTAGAAACTCCTTTCCTCTGTAATACTTCTCAATGCTTTATTTCCACTTTCTCTGTTCCTTAATAGCCCCATTTATGGGTTCTTCCTTTAATCTACTGTTTCAAGGTTTGTGTTCTCTAGGGCTTTATATCATCTTACTTTTAGATATGGCTGCTTGGTTTTCCTCATTCCCACTCAGATGCAATTACTGAGACAATGATTCCTAGTTGTCTATCTCTGTCCCAGAACTCTGTGATCCTACATACATATAACTAATTAACAACCAACTATACAGCTTCCCTAGGCCACTAAGAGTACTAAGAATACCTTGAATGCAACATGTCCAAAAGAAAACTCAACATCTTTTCCTTTAAATCTATTATTTTTCTTCTGTAGCTTCTTGAATAGCACCAGCATAAAGGAAAAAAAGGGATCATTCCAGATCTCTTTCTTTTTTTTGTAAATTTAGCATCCCTGTTGAGTAGATCACAGCCCTCTTCAATTTTAAGATGTTTAGTATTTCTCAACTCCCTCTTCAGTCTCATGGTTATTAACATATTTTCATTCTTCTTGATGTTTGCCTGCTTTACTACAGTTTGAAAGAACATCCAAAATTGTCACAAACCTGTCCTCTAAGCTGTTGTGAAAGAAACTTCATTAAAGCACAAATTTGATGGTATTACATCCCTGATCAACATTCTTGTAGTTCCCAACAGCTAAACTCATTTGTTTAGCTCACAATGCCCTCTTTGACCATCCCCGTTATTTCAGCCTCATCTGATAATTTTCTACCAACATTCATCTATTTAGTGTATGGACTCATTTATAGTTACTAACATGTTTCTCAAAGTGTGTCTTACAGAATGTAGTATTGCAGGAATGGAAAGGTTTCATGTTCCAAGGAATTGCAGTTGGAAAGTGATGTGTTCTGTTCTCTGATGGCTTCAGGCTTTTGTATGAGTTTCACCACTCTGAAATATCCCCATATGTTTTCCTTCTAGCTAACTCTTCAACTCCTGCTTGTGTCTCAGGGGCACTCCCCTGAGAGCTGACCTCTCCCATATGCTTAAATATCTTTCTCTTCTGAGACTGCTAGTCTACTAAGAACATGTCTAACAGCAAGTAATTTTCTATCGTTGATGCTATTTCACTCCCCCATTAGACTGCAAGCTCCTTGAAAGTAAAGACCTGTTTTAGATTTCCTTTAAATCTTAGACCACACTTAGTAGGTGCTTGGTAGATACTCATTAAATTTAGGAATGAAAGATGATACAAAGGTAAATACAAATTTTCATAAAATGTCACATTGGTACCATCAACATTAATTAATTATATTTATATTAGTAGAAGTATCAAACTTTTGTTTTCAGATAGTGGCAATGTCTATAGTGCATAGAATTAGGAGAATTATAACTAAATAGCAATAGCACCATGCTAAGAACTAACAGACTTGTTTGTTAGATCTCTTGATTGTGAGATCTCACATGTATGTCTATAACTATGACATACATATAAGTTTGAGTAGACATTTCTCTTTATTTAACAACAAAGCAAAATGCTTACTTCTATGATCACATGAAATAATTTCTGTGGAAGAGTTTTAAGAACATCACATTATTATTAATCAATTATTTACTTGAACACATAAAAATTTTTTGCAATTTAAAGAGCAAAGAACTGTTGCCTGTGCCCAACCACCCTATAAATTCTACTGTGGGATGCTTTGAAGGAAACATCTTGACAAAATAGCAAGGAAAAAAAAGCATGTAACATTTTTCAAACCTATTACATGATATAATTTTATAAGTTGGAAGACAGCTTTATGTTTTCAAATTAAGCTCTCAGTTTCAAAAGAAAATGACAGAGAACCATTTGGCTCTTCAATCAGTCTTGTCTAATCCAAACCACCTATAATCTAAGCCAAAGAAACAACTACATCAATTTTTCACAGAGCTTGTGAGTAGCTAAAATTGTAGACAGGATCTTTCTCTTGATTAGGTTCATGGGTATTTTGTATGGCATGATTAAGGCCCACACTGCATTATTACTATAAAAACTCACCTTGTTTTTGAATTCTTGACAGGGTGAATGATTTCCATTTCCCATCGTTATGGTTTTGATTGCTGACAACAGAAGCGATTCCAGAACCCAGATCATAGCTGACTTTTATGTGCCCATCAGTGAGCTCTACACTCATGAAATCTTTCTATTAATAGAATAAAAATACATCAGTGATTCGATACACAGAGAAACATATGGGTATGCACCTTTTTATGGGGTTTATAATGGAGTCTTATGGATAAATTGCTGAGTGTGCTGCTCTGGAACAGAAATACATTTCAGAAACAAAACTGGTGTTCCTATTTTGTGAATGTTTGTAGGTGTGATATTATGGTGCAAATGGTCACAACCAAATAGCTAGAATATATTCTTTCAAGATGGTAGTACAAAGTGGATTCCTTTCAAAACATATTAAGCAAACCAAAATATATGTTCCCTGAAAGAAGTTACTAAGAACAATGACCTGAAAAGAATGAGACCAAAGAATACTTAAAATTACCTTTCAACTTAGGTCTTCAGAAAAAAAACACTGCCACATAATTCTATACTGGAAAAATCTTTACTGGCTGCCTCTCATAAGGGATTATATGAGGAGTTATACTGAACACAAATAGCAATTACATTGTATCTATGATTAAAGTTATCAATAAAAATACATCAGCATTGTCTACACCACCCATTGTCCACTACTACATAGTAGTCTGTTCTAGACTTTTAATTATAATTGATAATTTTGCCAATAACTGATAATTTTATTGGTATTCCACAAAAAAACAAGGAAAGACATTTTTAATAATGGAAGATACACTGTGCATGTGGTCTTACCAGGTCTCGTGTGGCAAGATACATCAGGAGAGCACTTGATGAAAATGTCCGGAACTTGAACATGACAGTGGAGATGTTAGGGTACCAGCGAATGGGGCGACTAACCAACGCATAACCTTCTCCATCAAACTGAATAGTCCCCTCACTATCTTCCACCTGAGGACTGAAAAGAGACATTTCACATGAATTAGACCTTTATGGTCTGCCATTATTCAATGCATTAAACTATCCTCTGGGACTGGATTGTAAGCTCTTACAGTGTAGGAACCAGTCCAAACAGATTCTTCTGCTTCTCTTCACTTCTACTGCCATCAACTTAGACCAAAAAACTGCCAACTCTCTCCTGGACTTCATTAGGTATTCAAAAGCAAGGTCATTGGTGTTTCAAATGGTTTGTTTTGGAGAAGTTCTTGGCAGAGAATTATACTGGTTTTTAAGCATATTTTGTAAAATAAGAAAAAAAGAAGCATTTTTTGTGATGTTTGTAAAAACTGGTGAAGTTTTAGGATGGGCTGAGAATCCATTATTGCATTTCATACACACAACACACACACACACACACACACAAACATAGTGGAATATAGGCCCCTAATCTATGAATAGTCACCAGCCAACAAGTTTTCCTAGAACACATTAGATTCAGACAATCAAGGATTCTGTTTTCAGTTGTATGCTTTTAATCTGTTTCCTTCATTAGAATGTGAATCTAAGAGGTCATCTAGAAGTTATGAGCTAGTCCCTATGGCAGGCACAAACCCAGTATCTAGAGTGTTCCTTGGGTCATACAACCCAGTAAATGTTTGCCAGATGAAGGAGACTGCCATATAGCAAAGTGCTTCACAGAGAACATATGTTCAATCAATAGTGGATGAATAACACTAATATGTTAGAAAGAAATATGTATGAATCTATGTGACCATTGCATTTTATCTATATTTTTTTCACATTTGCCAATCTTATGTGAGGAAATTCATACTTGTTTTTCTCTGAAACATTTCTGGCTTTCCAGACATCCTACATTTGCTCTTTTTGGCCTCTGGGACTAGAACACCCTCCACATTTCACCTGCTGTCTCCTTTCACTGGACTCTTCCCCATGTCAAGGCCACCTTAAATGTTGCTTCTTCCACAAAGCAGATCTTATGTTCCTAACCTAATGGGAACAATCATGGTATACTTTTGAAAGGGATTTTAAGTATGCCTTGCATTTTAAATTATTTTAGTGTTTGTCTTTGTTGACAAATTTCTTGATGCCTGAGACTGAATTAGATTTATCCTAGTATTAGGAAGTTGTAAGCACAAGTCTTTGTAATCTGAAAAATGCCTGATAAACATATAGGAATACTATCATATTTATTAGAATACTATGTTAAATAACAGAAATACAAGATCTTTGCAGAAATGATAATTATTGATTACTTAGTCTTCCATGATATGCAATGCTGAATGAACATTTAACACTTTAGACATTTTCTTTGTAGTAGGCTTTTGAAAATACTATTTGGATACTACTTAGAAATTTACCAAAGAAATGTTTAGGGAAAAATTGTATCAGACATAGCCCAGGCTGGCCTCAAACTCATGATCCTCCTGCAGGATCATGAGTATCAGGATTACAGGAGTGTGTGCCAGTGCAACCAGACTTGGACCTCATTGTTTTTGTTATACCAAACAAAATTTAAAGATAATCTTCCATTTTAGATTTTACTGGCGATTATCAACAAAACCATCTCAAATGGATCAGGCTTCCAAATTATCCTCATTGTCATGTTGGTAAGTTCACGATAACAAAAGGAAAGAGATGGAAGTTAAAGCTTTTAGGGAAACAATATTTTGGGACTACTTTCCTCTATGAAGCTAGAGTTTTAAAAAGGGAATATAAAGTGTGATCTGCTGCATTAATGGGGGATTTGGATTTTGGAAATGTGCATGTGCCTTTTAAATTGGAAATAAAAATACAAATTCCTTATCACCTTTGAATTTCTATGAATATCACATTAAGCTGCCAAGTGTTTAATGTGTATTTTATAGTTTTAATTTAATACAAGTAATTTATTTTAGGCTCAAATAATTAAGGGGCTCTAAATATTTTAAGTTGAGAAAACTTCTACTAATGATTTTAAAACCTCTATTCAAGTTTATATAAAATATTTATTCCCTATATATGCCTTGCATATGTATTTTCAAATTCTTGTTTGTTCTAGACTCTGTCTTAACTGATGAAGTATACTATGGCCTATTTGGGCCTCTTGTTCTTCTTCTCCCCTTAAGTCAAGTCTCAAAGTCCCATGGTTTTCACTGGAAGTACTTACAGGACCTTATGTGTCAATCTGAAAGGTCCTGTAGGGAATGAAGCTGAGCTAAGGCTCTAAATTTATGCTTTATCATTTTAGGGAGTAATCTCTTGATGAAATAACAATTATGACCATGAGACATCCATAGATAAGCAAAAACCCTGGACATGAAGGGACTCTGGTTAGAAAGGGATAGTAGTCTTAACTGGCTGTGGTTAAAATTTCTTACCTTGGCAAATTTTATACAAACATATGACTATGTAAAACTACTGCTAAGATAACTCCAAGGACTTTGGAAAATGCCTGCACAAATGTGGGCAGGATCTTGAAATTTCATTGGCCTCTAGTGAATCCACCTTTTAGCACAATCATTTCAAACAGCTGCACCTCATAACAGCATTATATAATAAAATAAAAACTTTGTGATACACAGAACAGACCTTAGGAGATCGCTCATTTTCACTAACCTGACAGTACATCCTTTGCAGTCACCTTCTTTTTCTCGGAAATTCCACAGACCTATAGGTTTGCTGTCAAGGTGTGTTTCTCCCATGCAGCCAGTGAACGTAATCACACGCACAGCGTCAGCCTTCTGCGGAGAGAGATAGCACATTTGTTAGAATTTAGAACTGGTCAAATAGTCTTGCAGAATCTGTGAATTATAGCAGTAGAAACTGTCCAATCTTTCTGACATTCTTGGTTTTGCATACATTCTTCTGTTAACCATATTATACCCTCACAGTGACTTCAGGATGGGTCAATAAAAGGAGGAAAGCTCAAATATTTCATCAATGATCCCTGGTTATTTTTTGATATACTACCTCAAATGGGGCTGCATTTGTTAATGTGGGTATTTTCCCCATTAGCAAATGCAACCATTCCTTGGTATCCACAGGCAATTGGTTCCAGGACCCCCCTTTATCCCACAGTCCTTAGATGCTAAAGTCCCTCATATAAAATGAGGTAGTATTTGCACATCACATGTACATATCCTCCCATATACTTTAAATAATCTCTGGGTCACTTATATAACCTAATATAATAAAATTCTATGTAAATAGCTGTTATACAATATTTAATAATGGCAAGAAAAATAGTATATGTTCCATTGAAATGCAATTTTACTTTTCACATATGTTTGATCCTTGGTTGGTTGCATCTGAAGATGGTGAACCCATAGATACTGAGAGCAAACTTTAAATATTTTCCAGCTTCTAACCTTAGGCTAGCTGTTGAACCTTTTCGAGATTTTATTCTGTCTATCGCATGAGGTCTTGTGAGAATGACATTGGATATTCATGGCACTAAATTCAGTGCCTGTCACATAGTAGCTGTGGATTAAGCATGAGTGCATCTGCATCATGTTCTTGGGGAAATCTGGGCCACAATGGTCACAATGATGACATGAAGTAGAAGGGACACATGCATATAAATTCACTACAATAGTGCATCCTTAACCTTCATTACCATTTACAACCAGGCTGGAACCGGTTTAAGAGAATTAAGAAAAAGACAGCAAGTTTGTGACAGCATGATCATGGAGATGTTGTACCTCCAGCATCTGTTGAAGTCCAACCCTGGTGTCATTTTCATAGGGTAAGATGTTTGATGCATAGCACAATCACAAAGGAGGGAAGTGACCTGAAACACTCCAGACAACCTTGTCACAGTTTATGCAACTATTTGTTTTAGCCTTAGCAAATAAATAAATGCCATATTTCTGGTGTTCATGACTTTGGAAATTCTATGCCAAAGCTAATCCACATTTACCTAAATTATCTGGAGTGGAGGATAGATTGATATGTTTGGATTTTAGGAAAAGATGTTGGATGGTCAATAAATTGTTCAAACTTTGTAGCTACAACTTTAGTTTAAATCCATGCACATGAATAGCTTCCTATTGCCTTAGTCACACAGAGAGACTGTTGATCACAGCCGTTGTTACAAGTCAGCGAGGTCCCTGAAAATGCTCCATCGTAAGTTGGAGCCTTTTAGTTTTCCAGAGGTTGATTTCCTACTTGTGGATTCCACTTGCTTCTTATATCTCATCATATTCCGAAATGCTACATTTGAGAAAATTTCTGCTCATTTGAATTTTCATCAGCAAGTTCATTTACTTGCTTGTTTACAGCTTTTGTTCATATTCTGGTGTGGGAGGACACATGAAACTCTTAGTCAAAATGATTTCTTAAGGTTTTCTATATATTTCATTTGTCTTTTTCTTTCCCTGAGGCTGACATAAGTTGCTTTGTGCCAGTTATGTCTGCATAATAGGAATTATATAAGGTGCAATTTAAGGTGTGAATACCATCTCTGAGGCGTCTTGTGTTTTTTACACACAAGGTCTCACTTCTCATTGTGGCACTGAAGCATGGCAAATAGGAATGGAGACTCTTGTGCCTGTTAACCTGTGTTCAAATCCCAGCTGTGCCACTTGGTCGAGACATTCAATTTCTGTATTCCACCATCACTATAAAATGAGGAGGGTATTAGCAGTTTCTCTACTATTTGAGTGTCTATGTTCTACCAAAATTCTTTGTGTTGAAAACATAACCATCAAGGTGATAGTAGCAGGAAGTGGAGCCTTTGGGAGGTGATTAGATAATGAAGGTGATACCTCCAACACTGGGATTAGTGCCCTTATAAAAGAAGCCCAGGGTTATTACTCACTCTTTCCATTATGTGAGGACACAGCAAGAAGGTGTCTTATATATGGAAAGGGTACTTAGACACCAAATCTGCTGCACCTTAATCTTGGACTTCTCAGCCTCTGGAACTGTAAAAAATTTATTTGTGGCTTACAAGGTACCCAGTTTTATGGTATTTTTGCTACATTAGACCAAATAGACTAAGACACACCTTTTGGCATTGTTGTGAAGATGAGTAAACATCTGAATTAATTACGATGTTACTTAGCACATGATAAAGGTTAAAAAAAGGTTATCAAAATGTATTATTGTACCCTACAATATGCAAGCAAGGCAGAAACTTTTTTACCATTCTTTTCTAGCACAGAAAATTGAAGCCCAAGGGTTTAAGTGACTTACTTAAGGTCATATTTTAGGAAGTGGTAGAGGAGGAAACCCAACCTGGATTTGATTTCAAAATTCATGGCTTTTGTGAGCTACCCTTATATTTATCTTTCCTAGAAGCAGAAAAAGTTGGCAATATACCAATATATTATTATGCATCATATATATTTATATGCAGTTCTATGAAGTGAGCATGATTTTAGTGTATAGTTTTGGAATCAATTCTTATCATTTACAGTCATCTCATACACAAAGCAAATAAAACAATCTCACTCTATATGAAGGCTGAATTCTCATAAATTTGGGGTCACCCTGACTTTTCACATTTTCTGACTAATCTGATTCCAGGGTGATTTGAACGAGTACAGGATTGTTCATTATATTTGGCTGTGCTCTTGTATATCACCCACAGGTCATTTTTCAACACTTAATTTCATTTAATCAACATAAGCTTCTTTAAAATGCAGGCCCTTTACAATTTAAAATGCACAAGAAACTGTCATGAAGCAATTATGAGAATTAAGTGCATTACTCTATAAGAATAAGGGGAACAGTAACTCAAAAACTCTTAAAACCAGATCATGATGAAAGCTTATGGCCCCTGTGATATTTCCCAAGATATTAATGAATTTTTTAATTAAATGTGAGTATGAACTTTACAGCTCTTCATATTTATAAATCATAAATTGATTCAGAAGATGAGGTATATTTAAAAAACACTTTGCTCTTGAGGCAACTAAAACAAGAATATAAAAAATGGATGCCACAGTTAAGGGAAAAGCAACAACTACTGAAGTAAATAAACATAGGGTTACAAATGTCATGCCTCCACATTGAGTTTTCACAATTCAAAGAAGAAAGTTCTTATTCAAAATAGATTCCTATTTTCCTAAACACAAGTTGAGTCAACAATGGCCAAGTTTTTGCAGAATTTTATCATGCCTTCTCTCAGTTGTCTATAAAGTTGAAATAAACAGAACAGGAAGAGGCATATTACCTTTAATTTCCCAGTCAAGCCACCAACAAACAGCATTGCATTTGCATCCACATCTAGAATGGTATACCCTGGAGGAGATGCAGAATGGTAGGTACTGGGCACAATGCTGGCTTTGGGTCCATCTAAAGCTCTCACAGAAATAGAACCATTTCTCCCCGTTCTTCAAGGATATGTGTTGAAATGAAGGGGAAGAAAATATAGAAAATGAGATAGGTGTCACATTTCTGAAAACTTTAGATTTAAAAGCTATAAAATATAAAGAGTTGTTTTTAGAAAATTTAATAGATAACTAAGTATTTAGTTTCAAATATTCAAAATTCATTAAATGTCAAGTCAATACCCAGAGTCTGATTTGATTGGATATTTATGGTCACCTCTACCAGAAACAACCAGAGCAATAGTGTCCATTCATATGAAATGACACAGTAGCATTCAGCTGATAGAATTACTATAGGTCAAATGGAAAGCGTCTTTCCTATTGCTTTACATAATAAGTTAATGTTTTCCAATATATACAACTTAAACAAGTTTTTTATTGTAGCATAATAGCTAGTTTTCCTGAGTTTTGTATACAGATTGCACAGAAATTCACTTTTAAATTCAATTAACAGAATTTTGAAAGCTATTATTATTTCATTTCATTTCTTTTTAAGGGTTGTTTTCCATGAATTGTTAAGTATGAAAATCTGGTTTCTCTTCTTAGACAAGCAGTCATAACAAAACTTCAGTGTCATATTTCTCTCTCTGCTGTCTCATTTTGGTAAACATTTCTTCTTTGAGGGGGCAGTGTTAAGTGAAATACATGAGAACAAAAGAATGAATTTTTCAAGTAAGTTTCTTTTTGAACAGAATGACTCTTTTCAGACAGAACTGTACTCCATGAGAATAAATGTCCTTCAACCCACAAAGTAATTAAACCCTCTACCACCACCACCACATATATGAGTTCTATGAGTTTTCTCTCTCCTCCTCCCTGCTTCTCTCTCTCTCTCTCTCTCTCTCTCTCTCTCTCACACACACACACACACACACACACACAGAGACACTCTTTCGTTGAATATCTTTAAAAGGAACTAAAACTATTACTTTTCATTTAAACTTTTTATTGTGGAAAATTTAAACATATATAAACAAAATGAAACTCTATGTATCACTCATATAGACTTAACAATGACCAGTTCTTCAAGTCTTCTTCACCCATTTCTGACCAACTTCATCTCTACCCCTTGGGCCCTTAACCATACCACTCTACTGTTAGCTGCTTTGGGTAGAATAAGGAGTGGATAATTGGAAAAAGAAGAGAAAACAAGGGAAATAATGAGGACAGGAATGTTTCCATAAGTAATACATATGTTCCTAGAAGCTGATAATTGAATTAAAGCTGCAGAGATAGAATTACTGACTCAATTTCCTGTTACCCCCCATTTCAAGTAGTGTGGATCTGACATATCACATATGGATGCCAGCTTTTGACATGGCATATGCCTGTAGTAATGTTTGCTATGCCGACTAGAAGAGAAGATGTGTATACAAAAGGTAAGTAATAATGACAGGTCTTATTCTCTGGCCTCTGTCTAATGAGTGTCATTGCTTTGTTTTCAAGTGAGGTAAGATGACTGAAAACTGCAGATTTCTACCAGTGAACAAAGAGATCAGAAGTAGACTGGTCACTCTTGTCAGTACCTTGAAAGTATGTCATGTCTTAACAGGCCATGAAAAATGTACTCATTCCCACACATCATTTATACATATACATATATAAATTTTATATGTATGTACATTTATACACAGTTACATTATTGAAATGGAAATGAGACTTTCTCACAAATAAGCAACAGACTTTAAAATTCTGATTTTTTAATTATTATTGAATAGTTACCTTGATGCTTCAATACGGTACCAATATGAGTCATCAATAGTCAAATCTGGATATTCTACACGCCCAACTCCAGATCCAACATCCCAAAGGAAACTCACTTTGCCTTTACGCATTTCTATAGCCAGAAAATCAATCTAGTTCAGAGAAATACAAAAACAATAGATGTCAGATACAAAATATTGTGAAAGAGGAGACAAGTGGAGTCTTTTCAACACATCCCATTTGCAAAGATGTAAAATAATTGGATTGAGAATACTTTAGTGCTTTCACCAAAGACACTGACATTTTTGAGGGATAGCTATAATTTTTTTTAACCCAACATGATCCAAAGCTCCTCACATAAATGGAATATATGATGTTATTACTGGTTTGTTAGAAAGCCTCATTCATTTTGGAAAATATCCACACATGCAAAATAAAATGGTTCAAATGGAACACATTTGTGGGTTTTTGTAGATACAACTTACGTTGTTTCAGTTTGAGTCATAAATTCAACAAATTAGAAGAAATTTCATTGGTAAGAAATTAGTACACAATTTGTTCTTTTTATTTCATTAGCATGAAAGCTTATTATTTCTTAGTTTGAAAAGGGAAATATTCTTTGTTCCTATAAGCCTTTCTTCTTAAATAGCTAGAGCTGAAAATGCAAATCAGAATAAATGCTGCTAGACCAACAAATGAAAGCAAATATGCCTAAATACTATAAAAGATTTTCTTCATGTTTATGTGCCTTCTGACATAACTTGACAGTTCCGAACTTTTTGAGGTAAGATTCTAAGATTTTTAAAGCTGAAGGGCTACATTAGAAAATTTGGGGACCATGCTACTGAATTCTGTACATTTCCCTCAATATCAGGATTAACCTCTGATTCTACACATACACAACAGCCTAAAGAAAGGCTGAATGTTAGACTTACAAATTTGGCACTTCCAAGATAAAAAAGGAGGTTGTCAGCAACAGCTGTCTTGACGTTGACAATAATATTATTGTAGCTTCCTTTCTTGATTTCTGGCTTGTATGTTCGAATGCAGTCACCTCCCGAAGACACAGAGACTTTGATCTTCAAGAAAAACAAGGTACAAAGTCCCAAGACTAAATCTCTCAGAAAGTTTAAAGTAGCACCCAAACAACCACAAAGCCATCATCATTTTTTTCTTTGAAGTTATTTTTCAATCATCAAATAGTGCCATTAAATGTCCACATGAAGACACCATTATGCTTATTAATGAGGGCACGGAAGAGCACTTCTCCACAGCATTTTGACAGTGAGTGGCTCACAGATCCCCATCTTGTTATCATGCTACTATTTTTGAACATGCAACTAACAAATTCTTATCTTCATACCTTTCTCCTTTACAGGAACTTTTCAAAGGGGGATTGTATATGAAATTAATAGGAATGATTTCCATTAAGGTTATTTAATAAAATTTTATAATTCAAATTTCAGTGATTTTAGTATCACTTAAAGTAGGAAAATCATTTTTCTTTTAGTTTTCAAGAGGAAATTACTGGCCCTTCCATGCTCTTATAGTTAAAAAAGGCCAAATAGATTTTGTTCTAGATGTTCTAACAATAAGAAGAGTATTAATCATTTCATCTCAGAACATACATTTCAGAATAAATTACACTTTTTTTATTAAGTTGCCAGGAAGTGAAATGGAAATAATTTCTAATGGTTATCACTACTAATATATATAATATATCTCCTTTTTCTTTTGAATAGTACTTTAAAAATTACCATAAATTGCTAAGAAAGGAATTCCTATGTGAATAGAATGATGCTGCTGTTCACACCAATTTTTACTTTCATTCAGGAAGCCTTCCTTCAATCACAAGGGACACTATTTTATTATTTGATTTAATTTCCTTTGAGTTAGATAAAAAAAATCACCATCAAAGGGGCGTTTTCAGGACAGCAAAGTAAATGGTTGAACTCAGAGAGAAATTGTTACTTTGCTGATTGATGGAACTAAAAGTAGGAGGCAGAGAGAGAGGAAGATGTAAAACCTCTGTTGCCTCTGGCTCAAAGGCTCAGCTTCAGGAAGCCTGTTGGCCCTTACAAGTAGTGAATTTCCATTTTCTTATTTCTTTAGCACTTTGTGCTGTTTATACAGTTTGCACATTTGGAAGAAATCCAACTAACATTACTGTTGCAAGGCCTGTGCAGATTTCAAACCAGATAAGCTAGGCCACCAAACCAGCGTCCATATTATGGTTACATAAGGAGGTGTCTCCAAGTGTCTCATCAGATGTGAGTGTTGGGAGCACTGTGGCCTCTCTCCAAGTGTAGTGCAAACTATGCTGAGGAGGTGTAATATGCAAAATTGTTCCAACTGTAAAGGGAAAGTTGAGGAGGGACTTAAAATACTGACAATTCGGTAGCTTCACATACATTTGAGAACTTCTGGGCTTACAGCAGATCTGTTACATCTGTAGATCCTGCATAAGTCATGTGTTTGTATGTATTGTTGCTTAACCTGATCTGCTAACCAAATTGCATCTGGAGAGAAACAGAGGCTGTTTCATACTTCACCAGGAGTGGGGTAAATCCTGGAGCCCTGTGTATAGTGGGCTGCAGATGGGATGATATAGAAAGTCTACTTCTTAGACTGCTTGCCTGTCTTTGTCTCCCTCTCATGGTGTGGCCCAGCCCAGCAATTGAGGGTTGGGATTGGGTCACATCTGGTTCTCAAAGTATTTGCTCTGTGCCTTCAAGATCTTCTTGTTAATGTGGTTTTGTCAGGAAGTTAGTTTTGTTTAGCAAATGATGGCATTTCCTTTCTACATGCATTACTGAGAGTAGGTGAATCAAAATGAATTACAGAAACCCTGAACCAGGAAATGTACAACTGTTACCCTGGATGTTAACAGTATAAAGTAAATGTGCAATAGGAGTTGGCAAAGCATGTTGTATGATAGCATAGCAGCTATGCAAAGAGCAATTTAGGGACTCAGAGTTTAAAAGGATAAAGTATCATAAGACAAAGACCATATGGTAGAAGGCAGGTTGGAAAAGTACAGTCTTTAGATAGTTTTAATGCTCAGGAAAAGGCATAAAATACAGTGAGTTTTTAGAAATTTGCAGCAAGTGAACCAAAACCTTCATGACAGAAGACCTTGGCATTGAGCAAGTTTAAAATATGAAGCAGGTTATAAGTTCCATTGATATCATAAAAGGATCAAAAAGAACAAGAAATAAAGATCTAACTGCAATTCATGAGTAGAACTAAGTAATAGACTCAGCTATCCCTGGCAAGAAATCATTTTCATAAACATAGTGGGGCCAGTTTAGAAGCCCAAAGTAATGTAGTTTGTTTTCTCTTTACTTCATAAATGCTTTATAAGCTTAGCTAGAGGGCATATTATGGCTAGCTTAATTGCAAATAAATCCTATTTGTTTAAAGACTAATTCAATAATACTCCTCAGTTATTGTTTAGAGATGAAATGACTGAATATATGTGGAACTTAGTCACAGGATGAGTTTCAGAACTTGCTTTCATATACCTGGTAGGAATAACAGATTACATGATTGGTGCATTGAAAAGGACATTTCCAAAGTATAGATGACAGCAATCAAGTACTGAGACCTAAGAAGACTGATGAAGCTCCAGCTGAGACTGCAGCTGAAGCCATTTTAAAACTAAGGACATTTATTGTCACTAGGATTTGCTATTAATCTACTTTTTGGAATGTTTTTAGTCTAATCATGGCCACGACTGGTCTCAAACTTGGCTCTTGGCTCTTCCTGCCTTAGCCTCCTGCATGTGGGGATTACAGTCATGTGTCACCATTCCTGGATACTTTATGGCATTCTTTAAATATCTAAAAATATGACTCTCTGAACAAAATGAAATTATCATACCCAATATGATAGCAATTAATCTTGTAAAATAACCTATTCGTCAGCTCCTAATGACTCACATAGAAACCATCTGCATTTTCTGTCTTCTGGCTTATGGTTTAGAATATACCCCCAGCACCTGAAAAATTCAGGCAACATAAATTGTTGGCAAACAGTTCATAACTACTAATTTCTCCTTGGAAATACATTGTTTTTATTTCTAATTATAGGTATGTTTTATAGAAAACTTTAAAAAGCTAATCAACATGCCAGATCTAGAAATTTCTTTAGAAGAAATCTCTAGGATAAATCCCTCTTGAAGGGGGGAGAAATTTGTGAAACATGAGCGTTCTGTTAGGATGACTGCCTCTACCAATTATTGCATTTTCAATGTTACTCCTTAGTAAGACTTTTAAGAGTAATCACTAAACATTAGATATTGCTAATGTATTTCTTATATAACATTATTCACCAGCTAATCATCATGAACTCAAATGTTATTGAGTCTCTTATTATGTCTACCTTATTTTCATTGTATTTTTCATACAGTCACTAAGCCATTCATTTAAAAGGCGTACATTGCCACTCAATTGAATAATCAAAACACCAAAAGAAAGCTACTTGTAAATAAATGTCTTTAATTTATCAATTAAGAATATCTTTCTTAAGTTTAATATCAAATATGTATTAGGGTTATAACCAGAAACTTATGTCAAGTTACTAATATATTTACAAATCAAAAAAATGTAATCCAGTTAGTGCAAAATTCATTTGAAAAAAAAATTATCTGCTTGAATAAAAAAATAGGGCATTTGTTGTAATTTCCACTTGCAAAAGTAAACAAAAACTTCCTTGAAAGGAATGGACAATGGTCGCTTTTTCTAGCTTCCTTTATACTATCTTTCACTTTGTATTTTTAGACATACTTACATGTTAGAACTTTGTCTTTTTTGGGGGGTAGGGAAGAAGCTCTCACAACTGATGAACAGGTGAAGAGTTTTAGATTTCTTACAATGAAGAAATAAAAATGTCATACTTCCCCACTGGGTGACTAAACTGGAAACTGTGGCTAAATGTGTGATTCATAAGAGAATATTTACTATTATTCCTTCCTTAAAGATAACATTGCAAAATACAAAGAGAAGTGACATATCAACCTCTTCCTTTCTCTTGCCCTTGATGGGTCCTTTCTTGTTTCTCTCTCTTGTTTCACCAACTACTTCTGGATTTTTATTAAAAACAGCATAGCTCACTTATGGTATGTTTCATGCTTAAAAACTTTCAGCTTATCCTCAACAATGAGGTTCATCCCAAGAACCAAATGACAGATGCTGCTTAATTTACCATTTAATAACGATAAAACCTGGCTTCCATTGACCTTTCAAATTTAAAGTTCACTTATCAATTACTCTTGACAAAGTAAAATGCTCTGTCATGACCTGACCCTGAAACTTTCTTCTTTCTCTGCCCTGGCTCAGCCCATTCTCTTGTTTCAGAATCTCTTCCCTTGTCTCCCACCCAAGCCCCCCATGACCAAACACTATACCATTATATGAGGTCTGGCTCAAATGCTTCCCTTTGGGAAATCTTCTGACCCTAAGAGAAATGATCTCGCCTTTAAAACTTTTATAGCACTCCTTATGGCTCATGTAACATGGCCCAATGTTCTTCATTATCTTGGAGTTGTTTGTATATGTCTTATTTCTTCTACTATAGTATAAACTTTGTAAGTATGAGAATTGGCTCATTCATTTTTGTGAATTTCACGGTAAGAAGCAATGAACATAAGAGATACCTCTTCTACATTGTCTAAATCTTAGATAAAGTTTCAAACCTTGTAATATCTGGCTTCTTTTTATCTGCTTTACATATGCAATGGTCACCTGGCCCCCATATGATGGAGCTTTCATATGATAGCTGAACCCCTGTCTTTCCAGATCCAATCACTGCTTCTTTACTCTCATTTATGTAATGTCATCTTCACTAGTTTTTTGTGATTGTCTAAGTCTTTCTTCAGTCAGGCACGAGTTCCTTTCAAGGTGCACCTTGAATTTATTTCTTGGCCTTGTTTAGAAGTTTTGGTTGTGAACGGGAGAATAAAGGATATGCTATCACTCAGAAATCATTTTCTTGGCCACTGCTAAGAAATCATGAGCTGATGGATTAAGAAAGGGCTCTTCTAGTTGGGCACGATGGCATACATGTGTAATCTTAGTACTTGGGAGGCTGAAACAGAAAGACCTTCATTTTGAGGCCAAACTGGCCTACATTAATAAAAAAGGAGGAAGGCTTTTCTGATCCTCTTAACTCTGAGGTTATTTTTTTAAAAATGAAGTTTTGAGATGGAAGACTACAGTATCTAAAAATGTTTAAATTGATGCCCGATAGCATAAAGACTGTCTTCTTAAAAATCACTCCTAAAGTCATCATGGCATGACTTTACTAGGCCAGCTAAAGACTCACATTGATACTTACATGTCCTGGTTTATTAGCATGCTAGTTTCTATACAGTTCTGCTTCTATCCTAGTATCCTGCCAGTACAGAGCAAAATTTTAAGTTAAATAATTTCCTATTCTTACTCCAAATAAAAAAAAATGTAGATATCGTAACAAAAGGAATTTTTGCTATTGCTTATGCCCAGACGAAATAATACATTGTATATAAAATAGTGGCTCTTCTTTGCTAGTTTCCCCATGTAACCTTGTTCATTCATTCAGTCTGCATGGTTGGCTTTTTTGCTTTTATCAAATGAAAGGCACTACCATTCATGCCTATTTAATATATAACAATAAACTTATAATTTGTACTATTTGCATTAGACTATTCAAACAATTATAAAATATACCAGAATTCCTAACTCTTAAAAAAGTTATAATTTCTCATGAAATGGCTTTGAAAGTTATGAAAAAAAACTAACTTCCCCTTTCTATCTTGCCCTAAATAGCTTCAAGTTCAAGGAAAGAGTCAGAGATGATTCAACATAGTACATTGGAGGAAGATATTCCCTTTGGGATTAATACTAAAAATTATAAGCAGTTACTGATTCTGAAAAAAAGAAAAGGAGCTTACAGAATTGGCTTGCTTCCGGGCTTGATTTATGAGTTCCTTTATCTCAGAGATATTTTTCTTTAGGTTGTCCTCAAGTTCCTTGATTGGTTTGAGTTTATCTATCAGCCGATCAGCTTCATGTTCTAGATTTTTCACAGTAGAATCTGCATCGGCAACTGCATGAAACAAAATTAGTTATGTGTCTGTGCATGTGTGTATGCATGTGTGTGCACGAGTGTGTGCATGCACTTATGCACATGTGTGTATGTGTGCACTTGTGTGTGCATGTGTGCACATGAGTGTGCTGCATTTGTGTGCACATGTGCATATGCGTAATGTGTGTATGTGTGTTCATGTGTGTGCATGAGTGCATGTGTGTGCATGACTGTAAATGTGTGTACATGAGTGTGCTACATGTGTGTGCATGAGTGCATGCACACATAGAGACACACATACACATAAAGAAATCAGAACAGCAGTATGCATAACTGAGCGATTTCATCTTATCCATGTGACAAAGCAAAGCCATGACTGCTGAAGTACAGTGTGATTCCAAACGTGACTATTTCAGTTGGGACTCAAGCAGGCCAGAGGAGGAGATGTTAGAGAAAGTCTTTGGCTTTGTGATTAAGGTGAAAATTAGCATTGAAAGTAGAAAATATGATGAGCTTAATTCAATGCTTAATTTTTAGCTTCAGTCAGAAAGCTAACCTTTATGGAACAGAAGTTTAGTCACAGAAGCAGGAAAATGAAAGCATCTTTAAAATGTCACCTAGACTGTCCAAGTCTGAGCTGTATTTAAATCAGGGTTATTACACAAAATTGGTTTTCTTTCTTTTCCTCACTGTCTTTCTTTTCACATGTTTGAGAGAAGCTATCAAAATGTGGCTTGAAGAACATTTTGATGTTCTATAACCCTTAGACTGAAGGCCTCTGTTACACTTTAATTAAATCTTTCAAGCTGCAGTTCAATTTCATTTTGAAGAATAGTTGATTATGCTGTGCTATATATTAGGTCGAACCATATTAAACTACCATTTTTGTAGGTTAGAAAAGGTTGAATACTGGCAGGTTCCAAAGTTTCAACCTTAAAATAGTTGAAGGTTATCACGGATGCACACACTTTGAGTATGTGCTTTCCATGCGAGGCCAGATAGCACATGGAAAGCCAATTACTCCACCCCTGAGATGCTGGCAGCCTTATTCAGACTGTATCATTTATTATCTGAATGTATAATAAATGTATTGTCCAATTTTCTGTCACTGTGACCCTGGTGAGTAAGTAGACCTGAGTAAGGTCTAAGGCTACTTGTCCTGTTAGACAAAGAATGATCTGCTCATGACTGACCTTGGACCACTGAGAACCATTCCTCAAGGCTGAATCAACATGCTCAAATACAAGTAAATTATTCTGTTTTAAACTAAAATTTGGAATAGGTATTTTGAACTCACGCTCACAAATATGATTTATATTGTTAGTGGTGTTTAAAAGAACATGGGTCTATTATTAACTTTAATAGTGTTGTTTGGTCAAGAAGTCAGTATTTTCTTTCTGAAGTACAGATTATCGGGTCAAAGCCCTTGTTACATAGTTGTATAGCTAACATACAATTACCCTTTTATTTTGTCCAGTTTTAATATACAATTTTCCCTTTCCTTTAATTCTCAAATGTCACTCTGATATTCTATAAATTATTCTAAAGTTGAGGGAAAACAATTTAGATTTAGATTCATAAGAAAGACAAAAAGTAGCTAAGCAACAATTACTTAGGCTTAGGTAAATAATAGATCCTTTTCTTCTAAAGCTCTCAGAAACTTCTACCAAATACTTCAACCTGGAATCTGGAGGTTTCTCTTTCCCCCTTTTCTCTACTATCTGAAGCAGTTAAAGCCATATGGAAATTATCTTTTTGAAGGTTTGAAAAGTAAATCATCTCTGATACTGAGTCTGATGCTGTCTTGTGCAGTAGTTTTTGAAAATGTTCTCACTTTCTTCCCTAATTGTTTGAGTAGATTTTTTTATTAACTTCTTCAGATAGATTTTGATAAGGTAATGCTTTTCTAGAAGATTATAACTTTGAGGCTCTAAAATTTATTACCATAGAGTTTTGCCAAGCACTCTTTCTTATGAGCTGAAATTCTCCCTTATTTTGTTATATGTCCTTCAGAATTTTGCCTTTTTGTAGATTTTTTTTATTTGACCCACCAATCATTTAATTTTTAATCTTTATATTCCTAAAGATCTACCTCTTGGATTTATTGTTTCTATTATTCTCTGTCTTCAAATCATTAATTGGTTTTCATCTTTTTCTTCATTTATTTCAACTTTATTTTTCCAACTGGAGTTTATTGCCTAAAATTGTTAATTTTAGTAATGTAATTGCTCTCATTTTTTACTGAGACAGCCTTAGTCATTCTTCAGATTTTGATATTTTGGGTATTGTTATTTTTTTCTACTTATTTTGCAGCTTTATTTTTGACTTTATGAATAACAGAATATTTTTATATCTCAAGAAGTTGCTTATTTGTTAAGACCTAATTTAACTGTGTGCTTCTCTAAATAAAATTCTTTAGAAGTTGATAAAATGACTTAGAAGGAGGATGAGAAAATGGGCTTTAGTGGGGAGGGTAAACCAACAACCCAGTCTTAATTTATTTCAATGCAAGGAAGTCACATGAGCTTCTGTGGCTGAATTTGTGTTATTAGAAGTATTGTAAATTTAGTTTAATCTGTGTAGGAATTCAATTTTCCACTTTTATGTGGATAACATACAGATACTGTACTACTTTTTCATAATGCTATTAAAATATTTTATATCAAATGCATCCATATTACCCTTATATAGAGGAAGTTTACTTATATATATCTAGCATTACCATGGTGACAGTGTAAAGAATAGCTATGTAATGTTTAATGCTGTACCAAAACATGGCACCATGCAAAGCTGAAGGATGTCGCAATAGGCAATGAAGCATCATAAAGGTTACCAAGAGGCATACAAGTAAACATGTACATACTGATTTCTGCAGGCAATTCATATGGAAGGAAAACAGAAAGAAATTAGAACATTCATGAGGCAATTATAAAGTAGTGACTATCACAAAAAATGGTACTTTTCACAACTGGTTCTATTTACAAATATGTCCCAGTTAAAGTTAAACGAGTATTATCAAATAAGAGTACACAAAAACATGTCAATCAGAAGGTTTTTGTTCATATTAAAAGAAGTATTCTTATAATGTTCTAAGATAGAAAATAGACAAAGCTTAATTAATATTTATAGATAATGAACCATTTCTCTTAATGTAGGAAATTTTACAAATATAATAGTATACATATTATTGTAATTTTATATAAATGTTATACCATTGTATCAGTTTATAATCAATCTAAAATGCAATGCAATGATATATTAAATTAGAAAATGAGTAAATAGAGAGCAATACTTATATATTTACTTAAAAATGTATTTACCCTCACTTTGGGGGGAAATATTGCAATGTGATATGTACCAGAAATTATTCAGAGGGAATCTTGGAACTATAGAGGAGGCTATCCCTGGACTTACATTAAAAAAGTTAAAACAATTGTGTTTGCAGTTTTTTCTTCTTTGAAGAAGGGGCAAGGAATGTGTCTTTCTACTCCCCGGCTCTGAAGTTCATGTCATATGCATTTGTGCTCTTCCTTGTGAGGAGGGAGTCATGAGTCTCCTCATGACCATGGCGACCACAGGGTCTGTCCATTAGACTGTAGTATCCTTAGTGTTTGAGTTGAGGTAAGGATGCTGAAGTCAAACTCTACTCCCTAGTCAAACAGCATCTGAATTGTATAGTACATCATGCTAATGGTGGTGTTTTTGTCCTTGTACTCCATAAATATTCCAATACTCTCTGACAACTTTGGTATAGAAAGAGGACCAATCTTTTGAAAATGAAAAGTACAAAACCTGAAGCATCTGCCTTTGTGAACTCATACATCAAGATAACATCTTATCACATGCTAGAAAAGGAAAAAAATACACTAAAAATGCCAATGAAGGAGGGGATCAAAGATGGCGACTAGGGTGCAGAAGCAGGCAGTGTGAGCTCCATGAATCAAAAGTCTTGCTGAGATGCTGGAGCCACATTTGGAGGAAATAAAGCACCAAGGAGAATCAAAACTTCAACACCCTGAACCCCTAGCCCTCAGAAAACTTCTCCATGCCATGTTACACTGAGAAAACAGGAGGGCTCTCGCATCACCAGACGCCAGCTCCAAAACTTCTTGGAAAACATTCGACAGACCAAACAGGTGAGTGCCAAGCGTCACAGGGTATTCACCCAGCCAACCCTGGGATAAACCAGCATAGCCCCCTGGGCAGACTGACCACTCCCCCCACCCCGCAAAAAATAAAACAACAAAAAACTGAACAATAAATGAGGAACTGAAAACTAACACACAGCAGAGGGGTTGTAGTTGCAGAAAGCACACTGGAGAAGGCGGGTGGAGCAAGGAGCTGATCTCCATGCAAATTTTCAGTAAACAAAGGCTGGAAAGGCAGAAGAGCCAACAGCGGGCAGGGGATAAGCTGCTGCCTGAAATAGGGCAGGTAGCGGTCCACAAAGCTCATCTCCCTGAGCCAGTGAGCAACATGCAAAGTCAAACAACACTGCAAAATTGAAGAACAATCATCAAACCATCACAACATGCTGACAGCAGGGGGCTGGCTGATGGATCACTGACCTAGCCCCAGAGAAAGGGGGTGAGGCAAAGAAACAAGCCCCCCAGGAAACAACACAGTGAAAGCCCAACTCCAAAGCAGGACAGCTGGTGAGCTACAGAGCTGATCTCTGGAACTCGGGGACAACATACAAATTCAAACAGCCACACCCTACTGAGGGAGTTGCTGATGAAGAAGTTGCCACTGAAAAACAAAAGAAAAAAAAACACGAACCTACCACCTGGCGAGACTATGACAGAGCTTCTGCTTAAATACCAACACCAGGCCTGGATCTGGAGGAGTAACACCAGAACTTAAACTAAGACTGAAAATCTATTGTTCCTGAACCTGGAGGGTTTTTTTTGTGTGTTTGTTTGTTTGTTTGTTCATCTCTCCCTGTTGATTTCTTTGGGTTTTTTTTGTTTGTTTGTTTTGTTAGTTTTACTGTTGTGAGTTAGTGAATACTAAATTACACCCAGACCAAGGACAGAAGTAGCACATACACACTAAGATAAAAACCCAACACAGCCACAAAACAAAATTAAACCAAGGGAAAGAAAACAGGTGATTGAAAACACCAACTAGCCTATCAAGAACATAGTTACACAGTACCAAATGGATTGACAGGAAAACAAAAAAAGGATGGAAACCATTCTCCCCCCTACAATAATTTAATACAGGGTTCAGAGGGAAATGAGGAAAACAAATATCCAGTTCCAGACTCCAACAAAACAAAGATAAACGATGCCAAGGAACCCAAAGATGTCCACAAGAACACCCTCAAAGAAGAAATCCTGCAAGTAATCACTGAGAATAACATGGAGATTTTACTAGATATGGTCAACCAAAATGTACGAGACACTCAAGAAATTTCAAGACACTAAAAATAAAGAATATGAGAAGACACAGAAACAAATAAATGAACTTATGGGAGACCTAAATAAACACCAAAGTGAAACAGAGAACATTATAAATAGAGAGATAAATGAATTAAAGATGAAAATTGACAAAATTAAAGAGGAAGTGACCCATGATATGGAAAACCTCAGAAAAAAGAATGAAACACAAACACAAACACAATGGAAGGCCACTCTAGCAGATTAGAACAAGTGGAAGACAGAATCTCAGAACTTAAGATAAAATGGAAATTAAAGGAAAAACTGAAAAGCTATTAGTCAAACAACTAAGACCTGTGAAGGGAATATGCAAGAACTCACCAACTCCATCAAAAGACCAAATCTGAGAATCATGGGCATTGAAGAAGGAGAAGAGGTGCAAGCAAAAGGAATTTGTAATATATTCAACAAAATAATAACAGAAAATTTCCCAAATCTAGAGAAAGCAATGCCCATACAGGTACAGGAAGCCTCCAGGACACCAAACAGACTTGACCAAAATAGAACTACCCCACAACATATTATCATTAAAACAACAAGCACAGAGAATAGAGAAAGAATATTGAAGGCTGTAAGAGAGAAAAAAATAAAAAACATATTAAGGTAAACCCGTCAAAATCACCCCAGATTTCTTAACAGAAACCTTAAAAACAAGAAGGGCATGGAGTGAGGTATTCTGGGCACTGAATGAAAACACTTCAACTCTAGGATACTCTACCCAGCAAAACTATCATTAAAAATAGATGGAACAATAAAAGTCTTCCACAATAAGCAAAAACTAAAACAATATATGACCACCAAACTACCACTACAAAAGATTCTTCAAGGAATTATGCACACAGAAAATGAAAGCAAACAAACCATGAGAAGACAGGCAGTACCAAACCACAGGAGAAGAAAAGACAAGGAATCAGAGAGTAACACTGATTCAGCTGCACACAATCAAACCCTTAAACAACAAAAACAACCAACTGACAGGAATCACCACACACCTATCAATATTAACACTGAATGTTAATGGACTTAACTCCCTCATCAAAAGATACCTTTTGGCAAACTGGATTAAAAAGGAGGATCCAACAATCTGTTGTTTATAGGAGACCCATCTCATTGACAGAAACAAGCACTGGCTTAGGGTAAAAGGCTGGAAGAAGATTTACCAAGCCAAAGGTCCCGAAAGGCAGGGGTAGCAATACTTATATATTGGACAAAGTACATTTCAAGCTTACATTGATCAAACAAGATAAAGGACACTCTATACTAATAAAAGAAGAAATACACCAAAAGGAAATAACAATTATTAACCTATATGCACCCAACATCAGTGTACCCAATTTCATCAAACATATCCTGAAGGACATAAAAGCATATATAGACTCCAACACAGTGGTAGTGGGAGACCTTACTACCCTCTATCACCAATAGGTAGGTCATCCAAACAAAAAGTCAATAAAGAAATTCTTGAACTAAATCACACCATCGATCAAATGGACCTAGCTGATGTCTACAGAATATTTCATCCAACTTCTGCACAATACACATTCTTCTCAGCAGCCCATGGAACTTCTCCAAAATAGATCATATCCTAGGGCACAAAGTAAGCCTCAGCAAATATAAGAAAACAGAAATAATCCCCTGCATTCTAGCTGATCACAATGCATTAAAACTAGAACTCAAAAACAAAAACAATAGAAAGCATGCAAACAGTTAGTAGCTGAACAACACATTGCTCAATGATCAGTGGGTCATTGACAAAATAAAAGAGGAGATTAAAAGTTTTCTGGAAGTTTATGAATATGAAAACACAACCTAGCAGAACCTATGGGACACAGCAAAGGTGGTCCAAGGAGGAAAGTTTATAGCCATGAGTGTACATATTAAAAGGACAGAAAGATCTCAAATCAATAACCTAATGCTACATCTCAAACTCACAGAAAAACAAGAACAAGAAAATCCCAAAACAAACAGAAGGAGAGAAATAATAAAAATAGTGGCCAAAAATTAATGAAATAGAAACAAACAAACAAACAAAAAAACCATATAAAGAATCAACAAAACAAAAAGCTGGTTCATTGAAAAAAGTAGAGTAACAGACAGCTGGCAAACCTGACTAAAATGAGGAGAGAAAAAACCCAAATCAGTAAAATCAACAACAAACACCTTGGAAATCCAGGGAATCATCTGAGACTACTTTGAGAAACTATATTCTAATAAATTTGAAAATCTTGAAAAAATTGACAAATTTCTAGATACTTATGACTGTCCAAAATTGAACCAAGAGGATATTAGTCACCTGAATAGATCTGTAACACAAAATGAAATTGAAGCAGCAATAGAGTCTCCCAAAAAAGAAAAGTCCAGGACTTGATGGATTCTTTGCTGAATTCTATCAGACTTTTAAAGAAGAACTAATACCAACTCTCCTTAAGCTTTCCCATGAAATAAAAAGGGAAGGAACACTGCCTAACTTATTTTATGAAGCTAGTATTATACTCATCCCCAAAGCAGACAAAGATACCTCCAAAAAGGAGAACAATAGGCTAATTTCCTTAATGAACATCAATGCAAAAATCCTCAATAAAATAATGGCAAACCAAATACAACACACCAGAAAGATTATTCACCATGACCAAGTCGGCTTCATCCCAGGGATGCAGGGGTGGTTCAACACATGCAAATATATGAATATAATACAGCACATTAATAGTAGCAAAGACAAAAACTACTTGATCATCTCAATAGATGCAGAAAAAGCCTTCGACAAGATCCAACACCACTTCATGATAAAAGCTCTAAGAAAACTAGGAATAGAAGGAACGTACCTCAACATTGCAAAGGCTACATATGACAAACCTATAACCAACATCATACTTAATGGAGAAAAACTGAAACCATTTCCTCTAAAATCAGGAATGAGTCAATGGTGCCCACTCTCCTCACTCCTATTCAACATAGTCCTGGAATTCCTAGTCAGAGCAATTAGGCAAGAAGAAGAAATAAAAGGAATACAAATAGGTAAAGAAACTGTCAAAATACCCCTATTTGCAGACAGCATGATCCTATATCTTAAACACCCAAAAAACTCTACCCAAAAACGCCTACTGGACACCATAAACAACTACAGCAAGGTGGCAGGATACAAAATCAACTTACAAAAATCATCAGCTTTTCTATAAACCAACAACAAACAAATTGAGAAAAAATATATGGAAACAATTCCATTTACAATAGCCTTAAAAAAAATCAAATACCTAGGAGTAAATTTAACAAAGGATGTGAATGACCTCTACAAGGAGAACTACAAACCCATGAAGAAAGAGATTGAGGAAGACTGCAGAAGGTGGAAAGATCTCTTGTGGTCATGGATTGGTAGAATCAACATAGCAAAAATGTCTATACTACCAAAAGCAATCTACATGTTCAATGCAATTCCCATCAAAATCCCATTGACATTCATCACAGAGATTGAAAATTCTACCCTAAAGTTCATTTGGAAACACAAGAGACTGCAAATAATCAATGCAATACTCAGCCAAAAAAGCAATGTTGGAGGTATCACAATACCTGACTTCAAACTATATTACAAAGCCATAGCAATAAAAACAGCATGGTATTGGCACAAAAAGAGACATGAAGACCAGTGGAACAGAGTAGAGGACCCAGATACAAATCCACTCAGCTGTGCCCATCTTATTTTTGACAAAGGAACCAAAAACATATGATGGAGAAAAGACAGCCTCTTCAACAAATGTTGCTTGGAAAAGTGGTTATCTGCCTGCACAAAATTGAAACTAGATCCATGTTTACCACCTTGTAGTAATATCAATGCAAAATGGATCAAGGACCTTAACGTCACACCCGAATCTCTGACGTTAGTACAGAAAAGAGCAGGGAATACTCTAGAAGCAATAGGTATAGCTTTCTCAGTAGAACCGCAGCAGCTCAGCAACTAAGGGAAAAGATGGACCAATGGGAAATGGGACTACATAAAATTAAAAAGCTTCTGCACAACAGAAGAAATGGTCTCTAAACTGAAGAGACCACCCACAGAGTGAGAGAAAATATTTGCCAGCTACATATCAGACAAAGGACTGATAACCAGAATATATAGGGAACTCAAAAAACCAAACTCTCCCAAAATCAATAAACCATAAAGAAACTGGCAACTGAACTAAACAGAACTTTCTCAAAAGAAGAAATTCAAATGGCCAAAAAACACATGAAAAAATGCTCACAATCTCTGGCCAAAAGGGAAATGCAAATCAAAATCACACTAACATTCCACTTCACCCCTATTAGAATAGCTATCATCAAAAACACCACCAACAACAAATGTTGGTAAGGATGTGGGGGAAAAGGAACCCTCATACACTGCTGGTGGGAATGTAAGCTAGTACGACCACTATGGAAAACAATATGGAGTCTTCTGAAAAAACTAAACATATATCTGCCATATGATCCAGCAATCCCACTCCTAGAGATATATGCAAAGGAATGTGACTCAGGTTATTCCATAGGCACCTGCACACCCATGTTTATTGCAGCGCTATACACAATAGCCATGTTATGGGAACAGCCAAGATGCCCCACTACTGATGAATGGATTAAGAAAATGTGGTATTTATACACAATGGAATTTTACTCAGCCATGAAGAAGAATGAAATCTTATCATTTGCAAGTAAATGGGTGGAACTGGAGAACATCATCTTGAGCGAGGTTAACCAGGCTCAGAAGACCAAAAATCATATGTTCTCCCTCATATTTGGACTTTAGATCTAGTCCAAATGAAGCAATTTTGTTGGAACTTGGGTCACACGCTAAGGGTAGAGCACATATGGGAGGAATGGAGATAGGTAGGAAACCCAAAACTTGAAAGTGTTTGATGTTCCCACCGCAGAGGAGCTAATACAGTAACCTTAAAATGGCAGGTCAATATGGGAAGGTGACCAGAAAGTAGTGAAGAGGTCAGTAGAGATGATTCAATCGGATTGTAATACACTTGTGCATGGAAGCAATGCTAGGACTCTCTCTGTATAGGTGTCCTCATCTCAACTAGCAAAAACGCTATGTCTTTCTTATTATTGCTTACGTCTTCTCTTCAACAAAATTGGAGAAAAGTGCAGAACAGGTTCTCCCTGGAAGCGAGGGCAGTGAGCGGGGGGGAGAGAGTGGGGGGCAGGGTAAGAAATGACCCAAACAATGTCTGCACATATGAATAAATGAATAAAAAAAATTAAAATTTAAAAAATTTAAAATGTAGTTGACTCTTTAATAATATAAATGATTATTATTGTATTGTTATCATAGATTTTTCTCAGTAAATTCTTAAGAGTCAATACAATTTGATACAATATACAGAAGATTGGAGATTAGTTTTTAAGAATTAGATAAATGATTTACTTACTAGAAATGTTAAGTAACTGGAATCTATACAATAAATATCAAAATTTTCAAATGTTCATGCATTTCAAGTTGATACTATTTTTGTATCCTGTTTTAGCCGACCTTCTAGTGAGTATGATCTTCTATTCTATGTTCTACAAAACTTCAATTCTGAGCATGTGGATTTCCTAAGCACAACTGTATCCTCAATTACACTAACAGATTACAAGGTGTTCGCCATTATTATGCCAAACATCAATGCAAGCTCTGAGAATTCCAATCTCCTCTTGATTGGACAACATTTAGATGAAAAAGTCACTGAAACAGTTGGGAGACTTGGATTCTGGTCCTGGAACAGCAGGACGTACAATTTCTGCACCCAGACTAGGAATGAGGGCAGACTACACCACTGTGAGGATTTTTCCAGCTCTACCATTTATAAGCCTAGGATACTTTTACAGTGTGAATAAATAAAAGACATCAGCTCAGTGAAAAAAGGATCTTACTGTTCTTGGAAGGGTCTTTTACAACTGCATTTGTTTTGGCCACACTGTCTGCTAGTTTATTGTAATTTTGCTTCAGGCCATCAAGGTTCTGGTGGAGCTCTTTAATCTGGGCCAATACATCTTTTGCTGTGTCATTGGCTTCTCTGGCTTTGTCCTTAACAGCATTCAGTTTAGCAGCCGTGTCTGTCAGCAAAAGATGGTATGAGAAAGAAAACAAAGTGTCTGGAGTTAGTGGGTTAATCTATGCTCATCAAAGCAAGGCTGTGGCTGGCTGACTTCAGGGACACATTTGCAGAGGGGGAAATGCTGAACTATGTCTCATTCAGTCGTAGCAAATGAAGCAAATTTTTTAGCTAAATTAAATTTTCTCAGGGACCTTTGCTATGAATGCCTGATTAGCTTTTAAAATAGGAAGGTGATTATTCTAACTGTGCATTGTATAAGGGCAGATTGTGATTTGCTACCGAACATATTAAAAAGAGGCATTTGTCTACATTTGTCATAAAGTTTCATCAAAACTCGGCTTAAGAGTTAATCTCCATTTACAGAGGCGGAAAATGAACATGTTCCTGTTTTAGGATTCAGAGACTTTTTTAGGAATGCTAGATCATGTGCTTGTATTTTTACTTGTTTTTAGCTTTGGAAATTTTCTAGGTTCTTACTATTCAAGAGACAACATGAAAATTTGCACAATTATTCAATAGTGTTTTAGTGGTAATAGTAATAACTATTTAAATGGTATTTCCTACAGCATAAATGTATGCATTTATTCCCTCATCAAAATTTATATATAGAACATATTGTTTTGTGATTGAATACAAAATGTCTCTTGAAGGCTCATGGGTTGAAGACCTGGTCCTCAGAGGTGGGGTTTTAGGGAAGTGATCAGATCATAAGTGCTCTGACTTCATGAATGAATTAATCCACTGCTAGATTGATAATTTGCTGGCATTATTGGGATGTGGTAGAAATTAGGGGGGAGAGGCACAGTTGGAGGAAGTAGGTCACTGGGTGTGTCTTTGCAGGGTGTACGTTGTGCTCCCTTTCCTCTTCTTCTCTGCTTCCTGGTTGCCATGAGATGAGCGGCCTCCTCTGCCAAATGCCCCTGCCGCCACGATGTACTGCCTCACTACAGACCAACAGCAATGGAACCAGAAAAACCAAGGACTTAAACCTCTGAAACCATGAGCCAAACAAATCTTTCCTTTTTTAAGTTTATGTCGGGTGTTTTGTCAGAGCAATGAATGCAAAGTGACTAATGCCATGGTACATACAGATACAGACTAATGTGTGTAGGTTAGTGATTAAGACCACAGGCTCTTAAGACAAACTGTGAGGCTCAAATTTCATAAATGCTACTTTAAACAAGGCTTTTAGTACCCCGTGTCTCAGTTTCTCACTTGGAAACGGAATAATGATGCTATCCACCTTGTAGGAGGGATTCCTTCACATAGTCATATTGAGTGTGCCCTCACTAAATATCAATTACCTTTATTAATATTGTGTCATACTATTAAAATTTAAAAATAATTATCTTAAAAATATGTACTTTCAGGAACTAATACCAAACAGTAATTTAAAGTTCTGGTATGTAGGAAGTATGTAGGAAGATAGTACAGACATGGTTTGACCAACAATGTTTTTGAAAACTGGAATAGCTAAGGAATTGAATTTTACTCAGAGAGATATATGGAAAGGCAACAGACTCTTCTCTACATTACTGTAGGGACTGCAATAAGCTGACTTGATGACAGTACATCAAGATTTTAGAGAACAGTGGATTTTATTCTTTCCCACTAGCACAAGCTCTTGTGCTAAGACATGAAAGACACAGTATGTCAGAATACTTCCTTTTTGTCACATATTCCTATGGATACTAGCCAAAGGCAATAAACGATAAGTAACATCACAATGCTAAATGTGTCTCAGTTTCTCATTCTTAAAAAGAAAATTCATAAGTAGACAAACCAATATCTAATTTTTGTCAATAAATAGTACAAATGTAATGTTAGAAGAATGCTGAAAGTAAATGATGTTCTTCTAAAGTTCAGATCAGCTGACAACTATACAGTTTCCTGATGCTTACCATTTGGAATGGCTGATAACTTCCCCAAAGTATCATTCAAAGCTCTCAGGAGATCATTATTTTTAACCTCAGCATTTTCTAACCTGGTTGTCAAGCCATTTAGCTGGTCTTCATTTTCTGTGAACAGAAACCAAAAAAAAAAAAAAGGACAAATCAATTTTAATCATAACTGAGCTTATATGCAGATGTTCAATTTCAGGTTATTTTAATGTTAACAAAAATCAAGAAAATTGATGCAATTCCTTTATTGTCATCTATCCATAAATATATTTCCAATGACAATATAAAATGCATGTGTTTATGAACACTCAACACTTAAACATGTTCAACCATTACCTTTTCTTCTTGGTATCTGACATTCATCTGACTAGGTTTGAGGGATTCATATTGATTAGAAACCTTCAAAGAATCAGTCTTTTGCTGTGTCTGTAGTAATGCCTTCTTTATATTACTCTTATTAATTTCACTTATTTCTTAAATAAAATTAAAATTTTTATTACCAAAATGGATCAGTGGATTAGCTTTCAAAATCTCATATGTGATTGTTAAGTAGAGTCTCCTAGTTTTGGAAATACCACTTACCTATATTTATTTGAACCAGAAATCAAAATCCAAGGAAAATAAAACACATGTTTAATAAAATTATCATTTTTCATAGAGAAAGCAATATTTTTATAAATTGCCTCAAAAAGACTTTATATAGGTTTTTTTTTGCATTTTAGTATGTCTTCTTTAACCTTTAAAATATTATTTATGAGTGATATACTAAAATTATAAAACTTGCAGCTTCTTTTTGCTAGTATTTAACACTCCCTAAACTTCAGATTATTTTTAACTAAGAAGTTTAGAGTTTGAGAGTAATAATATAAAAAACTATGAACTAATTTTAGGGAAAGAAAATATTCAATTCACTGATATAAAAATGTAAGTTTAGAAATCATACTTAGGTGTGCCCCAAACCACAAGTGTATCCTTCAGATTGAAGGAGTTATTCATCTGTGTTCTTTTTTGTACATCATTTATTAGTGAACAGAAAAAGAAGATAAATAAAATTCTGTTTCCCACAATATTATTTACCACTCTTGACTGAAAAAGAACATTTCTTGAATATATTCTTTTTTTTTGTAGTACTAGAGTTTGAACTCAGGACCTTGTGCTTGCTAGGCAGGCACTTTATCACTTTAGCCACAACCCCAGCCCCCTTAGGTTCCAGTTATTTTGCTGTTTGGATCTCACATTTTTTTGCCCAGGCTGCCCTTGGACCACAATCCTTCTACTTACACATAGCTGGGATTATAGACAGGCACCATCACACCTGGCTTGTTCTTTGAGATAGGCGCCTATTAATGTTTTCACCCAGGCTGTCCTTGAACCATGATCTTCCTAGCTCTGTCTCCCAGTATCTGGGATTAGAGGTGTGAACCATTGTGTCCAACTTCTTGAATATATCTTTTATAGTTTATTATGCTACAATATTTGTTTCCTTGGGAGATGCATGCTAATTGTTTAAATGAGTTCCACAAAATGAAAACAAAAGATAGAGTCTCCATGTAAGGAAAAAGAGGATGTCCTAGTTCCTCTGGAACAGGATGGCCAGCATTTGGTCATGGTAATAGCAGGCAGTCACTGAGTGTTTGCTTTGTACCAAATGTAGTGCCAGTCGGTTCCAACGAACTGTTTTCATTCTTTCTCCCAGTAATACTTGTGATGTTAAAAACAGGGATGAATGGAGCAAGTACATTGGATAGTAATATTCCTCTTACCACCAAATTTTTGTCTTTCTTCCTCCCTCAGTTTGTCTCCCTCTCCTTTCTCTTTGTTGTCTAAAAAACTTGGTTGCAGTTAGAAAAATCAGAGAAGATGCCCCTAAGCATTGTCCATGTGAAAAGTGATAGGCAAATATGCAAAGTTTTTTGAATTTTTTGAAGATAATGGGCAAAATACAGAACTATGTAGCTTACAATAAAAATAATTAGACATAATCAATTGTCAAATTAAAATAAAACACTCAACATTATCATAATTAAAAATTATAAAGCAAAGAAATCATTTCTGATTTATGGGATTGGGAAAAGTTAAATGCTTGAGAATACCAAGTGGTCACAAGAGTGTTGGTGGAAGTGAAAATCGAAGCCATTTTTGAAGTGAAATTTAATACATTTATTAGAATTTTAAATAGTCATGTATTTGGCCTGACAATTCTAAATAATCCAGTAATAGACCACTGTTTATATCAATATAGCAAGTCCATACAATGGTATATATGATACATCCTTTAAAAAGAATTAGATGAGTAACTATGGGTATAAGATGATCCTCGGCCCTTTCTATCAAAATAAACTGGGCACACCATGCCTATGTTGACACATACATAAAAATTTGGCAAAGGTGTACTATCATCTCTGATGCTTGCTAGTTAAATTGTTCCTCTGTGCATATATTTCTGTTCTTTTATTTAGGAAAAAAAGTACTTAAACACTTGGGAAAGGTGTTGTTTGCCTTCTTAGTATTATTTGCCAACACCAGGACTGTTATTTTCATCACTTTCCTGGTTCCCAGAATGGGTAGGTAAGGATGGAATGCATTCCCCAGAATAGAGCTAGAACTGTCTTGATCTGACTGTGTACCGCTCCCTTCACAGGCTGGGCATCAGGCTGGGTAGATAATTGCTGTGGAGAATCATCCTCTACTTTATTGACCTTCGTTTGTGAAGAGCAGCAAAGGGAAAGGAAGAAAGAAAGAGGATTCTGAACTATTTGTGTTCTGGATGTGAAAGGGTATTGCACATATTAATTAATGATCCAATCCATGTCATGGAAAGATTTTTATAGGCAGTGCGAGTAAACCACTGCTGTACTACACACATCACCTTGATACACTGACAGATTACACTAATACAAGCACATAATCTTGTTTAAGGGGCCTGCTTTTTAGTCAAATCAAAGACCCAATATTATGGAAAAACAAAGCATCAAATAGTCTAGTAAAGCATAGCTCTAACACATCAATTCTTCATTTCAGTCCCTAATATATTATTATTTTCAATCCTAGCCCCTCAAAATACACTTTTCAAACAATTACCATTTTCCCCATTGTCAATCACCACTCATCTTTATTGTAATACTTCTGTTATTTTCACTGTTTGTACTAAAATAAAAATCTTTGGACAGATTACCAAAAGCACTTTCTGAAATAAAGCCAGTCTGGTGACAGCTATACAAATTTCTTGAGAATAAAGGGCTGTTCTTTTGATATTAACTTGGGGGTCTTCATCAGTTAAGAAAATACAACTATAGAAATTTGATTTCTCAGCTCTCAATGGGATTTAATTTTTTAAAAAACGAGTGTTCAAATGCTCTGGTGAGCAAGATATTCATGTACAATGAAAAAAATTAATTTAAAGAGCATCATCAGATTTACACTATTTTCTGCATTCTGATAGCAAATACTGCCTGAATGATCACACCAATTTTTCAGAAGAGTGAATAATCTGAAGAATACTTTTAGTGCTATCCTTCAAATACCATAGCAATACAATAATTTTGATCCTCTACTTTCTGTACCAGAAAATTAAAATTTACATAAAATACAAAAGTAAATAACTGTTCTGGTTTTTATGTCTCAATAATTGACTCTTATTTCTTCTTCAGTTATCCTTTCTTATTCTAACCATTTATTCTATAGTAGAAGCAGTTTCTGGGATTTCTTGAGCCAACTCTAAACATTTGGTAGGTTTGGCTATAGAAATAAGTGAATAGCTGTTGTGTACAAAAGTAGAATTGTAGATTTTGAAAAGGAAAAGTTACAAAAAAACTATAGCAGGGAGAAAATCCAGGAAAGTAAGTGCTCCGAGGTTGATTTGAGATGAAGAGATCTATAAGGTATCCATAACTAAAATGCAGGGAAGAATGCATGTGGTCCAGTTTGAGTTGTAACATGGCTGGAAAAACAGAATTATTGATAGCTAAAAGAAAATCTAATCACATTCATATTTTTTTGGAGAACAAGAGTAGGATCCAATTTATAATCCATAACTATGTTTTGTCAGATTCCCTCTCCTTATTTTTTGATTTAAAAAGTTCACCCAACAGCAGTAGCCATATCTCTTCTCTTATCTTCTCTTTGAAGGTAACACCTACCAAAGCTTAAAGGAACAGGCACATATTTTGGCTGTGGCTCTCGCTTTCTCACTCTTCACACAGTAGAAGTAAAGGGTCCTAGAATGAATTTGGCAAACACAGGGCTCATAGAGTGAGTGTGAGGGGAATGAAGCAGATCAGCAAGGGTAGACTGTCAGCATGTCTGATCACATAACTTCTCTGCCTTGCATGTTCATTGAGTCTCACAAGACAGTCATGTCCAAAATGAAAATCACTAGACAGAGTTGTGAGCAACTTCTGATGTTTACCATGTTCCTGGAATGGTATAAATATGCATTACAGGCCAGTGAAATTAGAACTGTTAACACTGGACTATGCCACATAAGGTACATTATATCTTTGACCGCTAATAATATCTTCTATAAATTGTTAGTTATTTAAAAGTAGTGAGGTATAATGAAATCATTATTGGACTTAGAGTTAGAAGATGGGGGTTCAAATGTTGTCTCTGACCCTTTTTATCTGTGTTGATGATAACATCTTCTTTTTTGTGACTGGCATAAGAAATCAATTGGAGGGTGCATGAGAAAGTGCTGGATTTACCATAGGCAGTTAGTAAAAGGTAATCCATTTACATTGGTTTCATTATTGCTCTAAGATGTTTTTATTATGTTATCTATAACTTTACTCTTCATTTAAACTGCTTGGTCTGGAATCTGAATTTATGTCCCTTTTATATTTTCTAAGCATCTGCAGATATCTCTCTTTGCAACTAAATATCAAGGTGATTTTTATGGATTTTAATGGAAATGTTAAGTTTGACTATTTAAATTCCATCTAGTTAAATTCCTCAAATGCAGTTTTTATTTTTTTATTCATGCAAACAATGTACAAATAAATATCACAAGGGTGAGTTCTTAGAACTGCTGTTAATTTGGGGGATCTGGTTAAATGGAGTCTCCTATAAAATTCCCAACAGATGACACTTACAGTGAACTTTTTCACTTTTATGACATT